GCCTTTGCGTAAACTTAGCTGTGAGCTCCGACACGACCGGCAGTGTGTGCCAAGCGTTGCCGTCCATGCTGACTGGCCGGCGGCGCTTCACCCCTCTGATGGCCGCTGGGCAGCAAGGGCCATTCAGCCGTATAGAGGGCCTTTTCACACAGGGTAGCGGGTTCCAGGCCTTCTAAAAATAAAGGCCGGAGTAACGTCATATTTTCAATGCCCTGGGTTCATTTTATTACACAACTCAGCTATAAATACTGCCAATGAGTCTCTGTTTCAAAACTATGCTTCTGTCCCAAAGTGAGGCCATGTGTCCTTCACAATGTAACTGTTTTATGAAAATGGGGGGAGTAAGAGAAATTCGTCTGATTTCAGCTCAACCAGAAAATTTTGTTTCTGGTTGTTATAGCAGTGTTATGCATAAATATAAATGAACTCTTTGATGCTTTGGGGTTTTTGTTGTTGTTGTTGGGTTAGGGTATCTAGGAAAGTAGTAGTAATATGTGTAGCTTAATTTCTAGTATAAGAAGCTGTTGCACTGCAAAACTAGGGAGTTGTTTGTTTTACAGACTGCGAATACAGTTTAACTGAAGAGGCTGTGGTCTCAGAGTGGCCACTTGGATTTTGCTTCAGGCGTCTTCGTCTTCGGCAGCACCCAGCGCGGGGTCTTGCGAGGGAGGCAGTGTCGGCAGGCATCTCCTCGTGCAAAGGGCCGTTCCCCCGGGGCTCGGCACAGGGGTGCTGAAGTCCCCTAGTCGCTTTGTCCATTCCATGCATTCTTTGTCCCTGCTCAGATGTTGACTCCAGACGGTTGACAAACTAGGTCTTATCAGGCAGCTGAGACACTTTGGAGTCTTTACCTGGGAGTCTGGATACCTGAATTCACTGATAAAAATCTACTGTTTTCGTGCAACCAGACACACAACCAGACTGAGTCTGCACATACAGGAGAGGGGGAGATGCAGGTGTGGGAAAACGAAGACCCTTTAGCTCACAGCTGACCCTGTGTCACGTGGAAGGTGACTGTTAGTCGACAGTGCGCTCCCAGGATATTTAGCCCTCGGGAAACACATGTAGCCCCATGCGAGCATGGAGTTAAGATCTCGGAGGCGGGCTCCGAGGCTGCCGCGCTGGCCTTGCGCGCCCTGACTGAGCGCCGCCTCAGGACCCTCTCAGAGGCCCCGCCTGCATGCGTGGTGCTGGCCCTCGTCCCGGTGCCAGGCGTCGGCCTTGGGAGGTGGGGCAATTTGCCGAAGATCCTACAGTGAGTTAGAGCTGGGCCAGCCTGCACACCGGGCCGATTCCAAGGCTGCAGTGACTTCTTGAGTGTGTGTGTGTGTGTGTGTGTGAGAGAGATCTATGTATGCATCTATATCTCTCTTCCTCATCTGCTAATATTTATAATTTGGGTGACTCCGGAAATGAATCTGCAGAATCAGTTTCTATATAGGGATTTTACCAAGGTTAGATGAACTTTTAAAAACATATCAATGTTTCAGAAAGTGCTGTTTTATAAAGTTCCAAATTAAACACCGAGGAAGCACAGGCGGAGTGACTCTGTGGGACCCGTGGGCACAGTGGGGCAGGCAGGGCCCGCTTTTCTCCTGGGCACCCCCAGGGGGGCCAGCGGGCCTCACAAGTGGTTGGGCTCTAGCTCGGCGCAGGTGGCCGCTGCCCTTGCGGCCTCAGACGTCTTCCTGGCCGTGGCTGCCCTGAAAGCAGCCGCCAGCACAAGGCCTGGGCGTGCACTTGACTTCCGCGGCCAGAGACCCCCCTGCTGGTGGGGCATCTGCCTCTGGGTCACTGTGCCATGTGGTTAGCAGGTCACTGCTCACTTTCTGGGTCTCTTATTGTATTGGACTGGTTTTTAAAATACTTATTTATTTTTAGAGAGAAGGGAATGGAGGGAGAAAGAGAGGGAGAAAAACATCAATGTGTGGTTGCCTCTGGAGTGCCCCCAACTGGGGACCTGGCTCACAACCCAGGCCTGTGCCCTGACTGGGAATCGAACTAGCGACCCTTTTGTTTGCAGGCTGGTGCTCAATCCACTGAGCCACACCAGCCAGAGCTTATTGAACTTTTAACTAAATATTATATTTGCTTTTATTGTAACCACTCCCCCGTAAAGTCCTGATCATGTCTCGTAACTTCATGTCTCCCACAATTCCTAGACAGGCCTTTTATAGTATTTGATTGGAATTGTACAAGTAACATACGACAGCTCTGGTGGAGTCACCGTTTCCCTGTCCACCGGCCCTTCCCTTCCCGGCGCTTGCTGGCCCTGGGCAGGCTCCCGCCTGTGGGCAGAGCCCTGCTCCCCCTTCCCTGGCGCTCTCAGCGCCTGCTCGCGCTGTTATGCCATATATTTAAAAGCTCTTAGGTTTTTCAAATACAGGCAGCACCCACATTGTATACGGAACTTTCCCAAAAGTTATTTTATATATTGGATTTTGGAATTCTCTAAAAATAATATGCATATTGGTTATGTTTTCAAACCAAACCACACTGTTCAGCCCACATGTGTGGGAAGTATACTGATCCTCCAAACCACCGTAAAGCCAAACTTTTTAACAGCACAGCCTCCTGGGAGAGCACAGTCAGGCTGATGGGCACTCGCCTGCAGCCCTGGGGTGGGACCCCCCCCTCCCCCCGCCATGGCCTTAGGTTTTAGGCCAAGGGCTTAGGCCCGGAGCAGCGAGGCTGCCTGATGGGGTCAGCTGGCAGGGGTGAGCGGAGGGATCCTGGGCCTCCAGGGTGTCTCTGGTGTGGTGGGCATCCTGCAGGAAGCTGCCCGCCAGCAGGCCCCCCGGCTGGTGCCGCGGTGGAGGGGCAGCCGGCCGGGATACCTTCCACCTCTGAACGCAGGCAGCGCGGGGAGGATCGGGAGAGCGATGCTGCGGACAGTGGCAGAGGAGGGAGCAATGTGTTCACGGTGCGTCTGCGTGAACGTCAGGCTCTGCCTGTAACTCTTTGTTGTTGAACCTAGGTTCCGAGTAGAAAATGAATTAATTCCCTACACCTGGTTCAAATAATCCATCTTAGTTATCTTTTGCAAATAACTTTATGAGGGTTTTCATAACCGCCTTTTTATTTTTGAAGAAAGGTGCGCCTTAAGGCCCCAGTGACGGAGCCCAGATGTGCCGCGGGCTGTGCGCGGCTCCACTTGTCCGCACGGGCTTCATGTTTCCACCCCGGTAGGCCCAGCACCCGCACAGCCCCTTTGGGAGCATGGGAGTGGGTGGGGTCTCCTCTTCCCCTCACTGTTCTCGCCCGCCCCCCTCACCTTTACACTGGCGCGGGGGCTGGGTCTGCGGAGCAGCCCCGGGGGCCAGCGAGCAGGTGCTGAGAGCGCCAGGGGAGGGGGAGCAGGGCTCTGCCCGCAGGCGGGAGCCTGCCCAGGGCCAGCAAGCGCCGGGAAGGGAAGGGCCGGTGGACAGGGAAACGGTGACTCCACCAGAGCTGTCGCCTGTTACATCAAGGACCCGGCACTGGTCAGTGCTGCTAAAATAGGCCAGGGACCCCCACCCCCAGGGGTTTAGGCTTCACCCTCTCCCCGAAGTGCATACAGTGGGAGCCCCACTTCGGATCCGGGCTGCTGTTAGCGAGAACCCACTACCGCCCGAGCGCCTGGAGTGGAACGTCCTGAATACAGATACTCCTGTTCAGGGAGAACTGAAGCGATCAGTCAAGCATTTCATGAATCGGACTGCAAACCCTCATAAGGTTATTTGCAAAAGCTAACTAAGATGGATTATTGAACCAGGTGAAGGGAATTAATTCATTTTTTACTCGGAACCTAGGTTCAACAACAAAGAGTTGAGTGACGCCCAGGTTTCCTTCAGGTGCTGCCTATACAGGTTTCCTGCCCTGCACTGCCCCGCGCCTGCGCCCAAAAGTGAATGGGCACCTTCCCGCGGCCGAGCCGGGCCCACCCGAGAGCGGAAATCCCCGGATGCCCAGTTCCGGTGGTGTTTTAAACTCGAAGCCAGCTTTTCTGTGGGGTAGGCTGGCTGTGGCGAGGGTGCAGGGGAACTCAGGCAGCTGAGAACTGCTGGCTTTGGAGAGGCGCGGGCCTTCACCCCGCACAGCCGGGCAGGTGTCAGGGCTGGCGCCGGGCAGAATGTGGCTTCTCCGGTTAGAAGGGAAATGTGGCATTAAGAGGCCTCGCTGCATCCCAATAATAACCGAACAACCGGAGCTGTCCGGGGCTCCGGGAGGAAAGTGGGCGGCAGGCAGCGACAGGCTCCAGCCCCCATCCCCCATCCCTGGGTGGGTGCGGGCACTGGGCTTCAGCGACCGCGAGTTGAGGCCTCGGAAGTGCTGGGCAACCGCGTAAGCGCTGGAGCGCGGAGCAGAGGGAGCGCCTCGTCCGACTCGAGCCCCGCTCAGTCTGCCGGCGTCAGCGCGCCTCGTGGGCCCGAGCACTGCCCCCGGGGCTTGTCTGGGAGAGCTGCGCCCGGACGCGTCCCCGCTTTTCCTGTCAGTACGGAGAACGGGAGCGGGCGCGTGGGTCCAGGAGGGAGGGCCGCAGGGCGCGGGCTGCGGGGTGCTGCTTGCTGGGTCAGGGGGGCTGGGATCGGCCCCGCGCCGGCACCTCGGCCCGGCTAGGGGCAGCGAGGGCGCGCTGGGCGTTGCCGGCGGCGGGTCTGGGCCGCCGGCCGGGCCGGCTGACAGCGGGTGCCGGGCGGGCCGAGCGGAGTCCGCGCCCGCAGCCAGGGGGCGGCGGCGGTCCGGCTCGTGCAGCCGGTGGCTACCTGGGCTCCGGCCGGCCGCTCCCGGCTGGTCGCCTCGCCAGCCGACGCTCAGCGGAGCTCCAGACCTCAGCACCCGAGCGGCGGGCGCGGAGGCGCGCGGGAGGGGAGGTGCGTGGCAAGGAGAGGCGGTCCGCGCGGGGGCGACGGGGCTGGGGTCGGGGGCTCCAGGGACGCTGAGCCCCGCCCCGTCCCTCCTCCCCTCCTTCAGGACCCGAGGAGCAGGGGGCATGGACCAGACCCCGCTGCTCTGGCACCATGACGCCTGTCCGCTTCGTGGTGGCTCTGCTTTTAGCGGCGCTCCCCGAAGTGGTCGGCTCTGATCCAGTCCTCGGTTACCCGCTCCACTACCGCCACCGCCATCCTCCCCCTGCGGTTCCCCACTTTCCTTACCACCTTTCCACCCTGCAGCGGTCGCCGAGGACGCCCCCGTCCGCGCTGGCACGCGCCCTGCGACCCCCGCCGGCGCCCCGTGCGCAGCGCCCGCTCGCCCTCCACGCGGGGCACACGTCCCGGCCGCCCCCCGGGGACTGCCCTGCCGGCGGGCCCTGGGTCAACGTGACGGACTTTGGCGCCCCGTGTCTGCGCTGGGCGGATGTGCCCCCACTCCTGGAGCGGTCGGCCCCGGAGAGCTGGGCTCCCCTGCGAGGGCAGCGCCACAACTTCTGCCGGAGCCCCGAAGGCGCGGGCCGGCCCTGGTGCTTCTACCGTAACGCCCGCGGCCGGGGAGACTGGGGCTACTGTGACTGCGGACACGGTGAGCGGCCTCAGGTGGCAGGACTCGGGCAGGCGGGGAGCTTGCCTGGCGCGGGGGGGTGGGAGGGGGCGGGTCGCGGGGGTCGCCGTGCCCAGGGCGGTGGTGGGCTGCGCTGAGGTACCTGGCGTTGTGTTCGCCGGGCGCGGGCGCGCTGTGTGTGTGGGTGTCCGGGCTGACGGTCGGTTTCCGCCCAGTGCCCTATCCCAGGTGCCTGGATGTGGTCTTGTCCTGCCTGGACCCCGGGTGCGTGCTTGTGTGTGCACGCGTGCTTGTTTGCCTGTGGGCTTGTGTGCGTGCGTGCGTGTGTGTACGGGCTGGCGTGTGCTGGGTGGGGGTGTGTGCTCTGCCTGGGTCAGCTTGCCTTAAAGGCGTTACAGTATTTACCCACAAGGGGCAAAGCAGAGGAGATAACGATTCCGACTACGTGCGAAGAGGGATATTTGACATAATAAGACAGCGTCCCACAGACCAGATTTGGAAAAATGTTGCCTTATTTCTATCATGACCTCTATTTGAAAAAGTGTGGCAAAATTTCTGGGCCAAAATAAACTTTGTCAAAATGATGCTCACATTCTGGGGCACAGAGTGGCAGTATCATCACCGAGACAAAAAAGAAAGGGAAAGGGGTGGACAATAGTTCACCCTTTCACGGTCTTGGGGAAGGAGCAGTTCGATGTAGCCCAGGGCAGCTTCTGGGAATGCTGTTCCTTAGCCGTGGGTGTGATTTGTAGATCATCAGGATTTGTGGGTACAGAGAGAGAGTTGGTAAGACATTTTAGTTTTGTGATAATTAAAAGCATCACATGAAGAGATTTAGTGAAAGCGAATCATCTGCCTTACAATCATCTGCCTTGCTTCGTTTTGAGTTTGGGATTTTGTTTAATACGAGGGTTTTCTTCAGTAGCTGCAGAAGAAAACCTTACGTCCTAAAGTGTAAGTGTTCCTTAAAAACAACTGGCAGCTCTCTATCCAAGCTGCGGGGCTGGGGCGTCAGGGACTGGGGTTCTGAAAGACGCCCCTGCACGTGTTGGAGGGAGTTTGCAGGTCAGCTTTCACAGCGCCACTCTCTTCCTGCAGAAGTTCTGTTTATCTGTGTCTCCGATTGCGTCGGTGCTTCCAGTTAAAGGAAAGGAATAGGAAGGTTGAGACCAGTTACCCTTCATCCTACAGCATGAAGTCATCGCTGTCCTCCTGGCTCGTGGTCAGAATGACAATGTGGCTGTGAGACTTTTGCATGACATCAAGCAGAGAGCCAGGCACTGCCCCTCATTTACAGAGAGTGGGCGTTCACAGGGAAGGCGCGTGTTTAGCGCACATTGACGTTGCCTCATTGCCCTGCTATTGTATTGCAGTTCATGTTTTGTAAATAGATACAAAAAGAAGAAAAATGGCATTGAGAGGTGAAACACTGCCGTGGTTGATCGCTCTCTTTCTGGCTTTATGCTACGAGGGAGGGGAGTAGCTGGCTCTGGGACGCCTCTCGCCCCCTTGCGTCCAACAGAAACTCACCCCCTGCGGCATCACAGCCCCCAGGATGCTGCGGCGGTCACGGCGGAGCCCCGCCGGACAGAGCTCCCAGCCTGCATGGCAGCCGTGTGTGCTTCCCAGAGCCAAGGGGCTGAGTGCCAGAGAAACAAAAGAATCTGTCCGATGGGACATAGGCGCCCCCACCCCCCAAGTAAAACCCCCAAACCGGGAAGGTCCCGGGCTGGCTGTGGAACCATGTAATCACTTCCTCAGACTCAGCCTTGGTAACCAGCCCATGGCTTATTTTTCACTTTCCAGTTGGGCAGAGCTCACCCCCTCAAAACGACTGGCACATGGGGACCCATGCGGTTCTCTCGGTCCTCCCCCCGCTCAGGTGGGCGAGCAGAGCTTTCATGGCGCGGTGGAAGGGTCTGGGGTGGTGCTTTAGGAAACACCGGGCCTGTTGTGACTCTGTGAGGTGCCCTTCTCTGGAGAAAAGCCGCTCTTCAGCGGGTCATTCGAAGACTCCAGCTCTGAGCCCACACCGAGCCAGCCTGGCTGATCAGAACAGCTGGGGCAACTGAGCATCCACTCCGTGCGCGGCACTGGGCCGAGCGTGTTCGTGTTAATTTTCTCATTTAACTCTCATAGCAGCATCATGAGGAAGTGTGCATTTTCACCACACAGCCCATTTTGCTCCAGGTCTTTAGTTATGGAAGCACGTGGAACTACCTGTGGGGTTAACCCCTCCCCTTGGTAGCCTGAGGACAGGTCTGAAAGGAAGGAGGAAGGGAATTATGTTTGGTCCAGTGTGTATGATCTCCAGCCTCTCATGATTTAAAACTATCCAGGATTTTCTTTCTTTTCTTCTCCCTTTACAAAAACAACCAGGACAAAAGGAGAGAACATTTATAGTCATGGGATCCCTCTGTTAGAATATAAGCTGGAGGCGAGAGCCGCATATCCAGTTGCATCAGGAGAAATGAGGAAGTTGTGGAGGGAGGTGGAGAGTAGGCCCAGGCCTCCCTGAGGGGCGGCGGGGCCCTCCGGCGGCGGGACGCCTGCACCCTGAGGAGCAGGGAAGGCCGGGCCGGAGGTGTGACAGCCGACAGTCACAGGGGGCCATTGCTGGAAGGCGCGCCCTGGCCCCACGCAGAGCACGCGTTCTCAGGGTGGGCGGTGGGCGTGAGAATCGCGGGGCGGGGCTGGGGAGGGCCGGTTGCCGCGCAGGTTCCTGGCTCCAGCCCCCAGAGGCCAGCGAAGTCATGCCCGGACCTGGCTCAGGAATGCACGTCGCCGACCAGCGGTCACAGTGATGCCATTGCCGAAGACCCTTGGTCACTGTCAGGGAAAACCATGGGTGGCAGCAGAACCCACTTAAATCATCGTGTGCTGGTGGGTGGCCCTGTGGACTCCTGGTGGCCCCCGTTCTGGGACAGCCCCGCTAGGCCAGGGTCACACATGTGGTGCCTTGTGCGGGTTTAGAAAATGGCATGGCTGGTCTTTTGTTGGCCCGTGTGGGGTGCGAGCAGCCTGGCCGTCACCGAGTGCGAGCCAGGCTCTGTCCCGCCCTGCAGGGCAGGCGAGGAGGCAGCGGCGGCTGACGGGGAAGGGAGTCGCCGCCGTCTCCCCGGTCACGGCCGGCCAAGGGGCAGTGGCTTGACTCTGTGTTTGGAGGCCCTCTCTGTCACAGCACGGAAGGGGGACCAACTGCAGGTGCCTGGCGACCGAGGGGTGAAACGACCTCCAGAAGTGATACTGCCCTGCGTGACTGGTCTTTCAGCAGAAAGAGCGGTTCAGAGGTATGAGTTTGTCTCACGTTGTGCGGACCTGTTCATAGGCGCCTACCCCTCAAATCTCCCAACTTTGTCAAGCAGCAGGAGGTGCTCCTTCCAGTCCACCTGGTGTGTAACGTGTCAGTTATGAAGTTGGCCGAAAGCTGTCCCTTTGTAAAAGAGGCTGCATCTTGATTCTGTGTAGCAGGTGCTGAAAAACATTTATTAGCAATACCAGATTTGCTACATTTCCTGGCTGCATTTTAAATATTGAGCTGAATCTGCTTTTCAGGCTAAGGCAGATATATTGTAAGATACTTTGATTTACCAGAAATATACCCATGTGTACCATATATGGGCAAATAATTTTTGACAAAGGAGCCAAAAACACAATAGAGAAAAGAAATTCTCTTCAATAAATGGTGCTGGAAAATTGGAAAACCACATGCAAAAGAATGAAACTAGACTGCAGAGTGTCCCCATGTACCAAAATAATTCAAAATGGATCAGAGACCTAAACATAAGACCTGAAACAATAAATTACATAGAAGAAAACAGAGACATTAAACTCATGGACCTTGGTCTCAGGGAAGAGTTTATGAATTTGACCCCCAAAGGCAATGGAAGTAAAGGCCAAAATAAATAAACGGGACTACATCAAACTAAGAAGCTTCCGGACAGCAAAAGACATAGCCAATCAAAAAAAGGGCAACTGAATGGGAGCAGATATTTGCAAACAGCAGCTCTGGCAAGGGGTCAATATCCAAAATATATAAAGAACTCACACAACTCAGCACCAAACAGTCCTATAAAAAAATGCTCAGAGAAATTTGTATTTCTCCCAAGACAACATACAAATGGCCAACAGATACATGAAAAGATGCTCAACTTCACTAGCCGTTAGGGAAATGCACATCAAAGCTGCAGTGAGATGCCAGCTCACACCTGTGGGAATGGCCGTTCTCAAGAAGGCAGATAATAGCAAGTGTGGGGGAGGTGGTGGGGGAAGAGGGACCCCCATTCACTGCTGGTGGGAGTGCAAATTGATTGCCCCCGCTGTGGAAAAGAGTAAGGAGGCTCCTTTGAAATTAAGAATCCAGGTACCACATGACCCAGCCACCCCTCCTCCGGGTATCTACCCAAGAATTTTGGAAACGTTTATTTACAAAGACACGTGCATCCCTATGGTCATTGCAGCATCGTTCACGGTAACTGAGGCATGGAGACAGTCCAAGTGTCCTCGGATAGAGGACTGGATAAAGGAGAGGTGGCGCGTGTGTAACATGGAGCACGGACCAGCGACCAGGAAGCAGTGAGAGGGGATGGCGCGCGAGCAGCGCCCCGCCCAGGGGCCAGTCCCACCAAGGCGCGCTGCCCGGCCCGGTTCCCCTGGGGTGAGCGTCAGGCGCAGGCAGCCTTTCAACACACGCGCGCCTTTGGAATTCCAGACATGAACTGTAGGGGAGCTACCTGAGGGGGAAGCGTGTTACTCTTTTTGTGGAGCAGGAAATCAGACAGAAGAAGCGAGGACCCAGCCAGTGGCGGCGAAGCCATAGGCAGCGCCCTGTGTTTGGTCTGCTTTCTTGGCTGAGCGTCCACAGCGAGAGCAGGTCACGTGGGTGATGGGGCGCCCCGGGGCCCGAGGCCCGGGATGCCGCCGAGGAGCCCAGGCTTGCGCTTCCACGCTTCCCCTCTCGGAATTGCAGTTGCGCTTTCTGTCCGCCTGGATAAAACGACAGTGTGTTAATTAGCACTGCCGTGAGGGTGTTGATGACCGAGACCCCTGCTCAGTCTGCATGGACGGGAAGAAGCCCACGCGTGACTGGCGGAGGCGAGGGCGTTTCCACGGGCCTGCCAGTGGTCCCCGTTGCCTGCCATTAACAGGCTCTGGGATTCCTTCCCCTTTAGGGTTGGTCCGACTGCGCGGCGGCCCGGATGGCTCGGAGGGCCTGGTGGAGGTGTGGGCCCGGGGAGCCTGGGGCGTCATCTGCAGCGGCCACTGGGACGACACTGCCGCCTCCGTCGTCTGTCACCAGCTGCAGCCAGGGTGAGTCCTGCCTGCTTCCCCCAGCCCCGCTGGTCTGTGAGAGCCTCTGAGGAGGGGCGGGCCTCCCGTCTCCCTTGCTTGTCCTCCCTCCCCTCCTCCCTCCCCTCCTCCTGCTCGCCCAGCAGGGCCCCAGCCCAGGACTGAGCCCTCGCCTGTCATTGCCCCTAAGCGAATAATTGTTTGGTCCCAGGAAGCAAGGAACTTAATTTGAAGAATTGTGATTCCTCCATAGCCGGGGGGCCCTAGGTCGCTGTCATTTGCTTTAGCTTCCTACTTGCAGCCACCCCCAGATCCTGCAACCAGGGCGTGAGGGAGGGGACATCCCCTGACGCCCTCCGGCCAGCCACTCTGGGCCGAGGGAGTGCACCAGGAGCACAGGCTCCACTTCGGTACCCACCGTTTTGTTTTTGTTGTTATTGTTCTGTTTTTGTGTTGCTTTTCCATTTTCTGAGTCCATGCCACATGCTTTTCTTGGTCTTTATCACCATAGATCTTTAGATGGCATGGAAAATACCTTGCTATGAAAAGCGCAGTTCTAAAAGATGAAAAGGTTTGCAGTTTACAAGTATTTTGCATTGATGATCAGTGAGTGGTAGCATCTGATCCGATGACCCTATCTGATATGGTGGCACTGAAGGCAAGGTGAGTCTACGTCAGTGAGGTCAGCAGGGACTTGGCCAGCTTCCTGCAGTCTTCCCTTGACTCGGGTGAAGAATGGGTGCTCAGAAAGGCAACCCGGGGAAGGCTCAGGTGTTGTTAGAGCCGCAGAGAGGCGCGAGCCCTTAATCAGGTAGGAATGTTTAGAAGCGGCGTTTACCGTGAGTCTGGAGGAGAGGGGGAAGGCGGAGCCCGTGACCCTGGAACTGTGGGTGTAGGAATGTTAAGCGCCGATGGTGTCAGTGAGTATGTTGCTTACAAAGAACCCTGGCTCACTGCGAGCCTGAGGATGCGATGTTCGTGGGCCACAGTCAGCGCGTCCTTCCTGTGCACACCTGCCTGCGCTTCCCCCCGGGACTCAGGGATCGGGGAGGGACACACGGCCTCTGAGGCTCCGGCCTGTGCGGGGCTGCCGCTGCTGTGGGTGAGTGTGCAGCCCACCCTTCTGCGAGCTCGCCGCAGCCCCTCAGAGTGCCCCTCCCTGATCGGGGCGCGCAGCAGGGCTGGGCAGCCCCACGGGGCTGCCCTCTGCACACGGCCAGGCATCGGCCATGCTCCAGACATGCACTGTTTGCTCAGTGGGAGCTGGGTGGAGGCCGTTCTAGAGATGACCATGTTCAGCTGGTAGCCATTTCATCGTTTAAAAATTTAATGTCAACTTGTACACATAAAAGCTTGTTGATTAGATGTGTTAGAAGCGGAGCTTCTCTGCATGTTACTAATTTATTGTTGGTTTCAGAAATGGGAATGGATTGCCTCCCTTGATACCATCTTGCTTAGATATAGTCATGAGGACCGTTTGGAAACGCTAGGCTAGTGGACAGGAGTGAGGAAGCCTCCTCACGCGGCCAGACGTCCCCCTGTCTATGCCAGGGGCAGGCGTGGGCGCACTCAGCTAAGATCGGCCTGCCACCGAGTCCACTCTAGAACCCGAGTCCCACGACCGCCCCGCAGGACACACTCCTCCCACAGGCCTCCCGGTGCCCGCCTGCCTGCGGTCTCCTAAAACCAGCCGTGGGCGGTGAGGGCGCCGGCATGCCGCTGGTTGCTCGAGACCGGCTGAGGAGATCACCACTGGGGTCTCCCCGAGCTGGGGTCTCCCGGAAACTGGGTCATCCGCTGTGGTTTCCCTTTTCTTTCACATCCATCTCTATGGACTTCTTCCAGGTTTAAAAATCCAGGTTCTTTGATACACATTCACCTACCTTTGATAAACCTAACATCGATCCCTGCATTTCCAGGAGAAAAGGAGTAGCAAAACACACCCCGTTTGCCGGTCTGGGCCCTATTCCCATTTACTGGAGCAACGTCCGTTGCCGAGGGGATGAAGAGCACATTCTGCTTTGCAAGAAGGACGTCTGGCAGGGCGGGCCGTGTCCCCAGGAGACGGCTGCTGCAGTCAGGTGCAGCGCCGCCCCTGGTAAGAAACTGTTTACTCTGCTGTCCTTTCCCTGTGTTCCCAACACGACTGCGGATGAGCAGCGCCCTGGTTCCGAAGGAGGCTTAAGGCCTGTGGGAGCCGGAATCACCGCACCCTTCAGCCGTGACTGAGCAGTCTCCGGAGCAGTGCGTGTGACAGCTTGGGTCCTGTTTGACTTCACGTTTAACCTTTTCCGTTTCATCTAATTTGCGTACAGAAATGTTACATACTGTACATGAAACACTTGTTTTGGTAATGAAAGATCATGATGGACTTGTGGTAGAAAAACGTCTTGAAACCAAATATAAAATACAGCAAGTGCCACAAAATATTTTCCCTTTATGGGGCAAAATGTGATCTTGGTACCATTATTCCCTGCTGAGTTTCTTAAAATCAGTTGCTCCCTCGGCTGCCGTCTCCTTTAACACCGTTTACTGGGTGCAAGGGGACCAGGGCGATGGCTTCAGTCCGCAAACCTGACTGCGTCCCTGTGAACGTCCGTAGAGGAGGCACCCGCTGCCTTCACAATGACCTAGGCTTTCCTGGGGACCATGGTGTATTTTAATGGCCCCCCGAAGCCCCCACGCTGTCACCGAATCCCTTTTTGCATTTTCCTCGGTGATAGCAGCATAGCCACATGTCCCAGGTCCTGAAATGCTGGCTGCTGGCACTGGGCAGTGGTTTCTCTGTGAGTGCAGGTGGCAGGGGAGGGGGAGAGAAGCTCCCGCCCCAGAACGCGCGGAGGCCCCACGCAGAGCTGTCCCTGGCAGCCGCTGGCAGCCCCGTGGCCCAGGGTCCGTGCGGGGTGCGCTCTGAGCCCTGCTGCCCTTGCTGGGCGGCCAGGCGCCGGTCCGCCTGCAGGTCCTGCAGGTTTCCGTTCCCTTCCTCTGCTTCTCTGCCTCTGGGCAAAGCTACGTGCGGCCAGAGCCTGGCCCTGCGTTGCTGCTCCGTGGGCGACGTGACCGGGCTCCGTGGCACTCTGCTGCTCTGTGTGTTCCTGCTCATATTCTCTGTTCAGCCTGGTCAGGAAAGGGCTTAACGTTGGCAAGCAGCGGGGTAAGTAAAACCCAGAAAATGATCATTGTTTTTCTTTTGGGATATCTATCTATTTAAAGAAAAGACTCTTTCTGTTCTCTACAAGCTATCCATTTGTTTAAACTGCGGTTGAAAATATAAATTTAAGGTCATTTATAAACATCTATAAAACACAGAAGGTTGAGGTAAATTTGAAGAGTGAAAAAAGACGCTCCTCCAGTAAACTACCCGAGCATGTGGAAGCCAATGGCTGGAGTCAGCGAGTGCTGAGGCCGCTGTGAGGCACAACGGCAGGCCTTTAGTGCACTTTTTAGTTGGGAAATGACATTTACTGTCTTGTCCTCTAGAACCCCCTGCCTTTCCGCCATGTGCAGAGCAGGAGCATGTGTGCACATCCTGGATATAGGCAACAGCAACCGAAATGAAGACACCTGGGGCTTTATTTGATTTGTCTGCAAGTTAAACATGAGTCAGCCACTGCGCTGCATTCTCTGTCACGTGATTCTGTGTGTATTTTTTGGGAGGATGTGGATGTTGGCTCAGTTTTGTCCTTGAGCTTTTCTATATTTTCACAATCACATATACAACCAGAAAACCACATATTCTAAAATAAAACACGACATTAAAAATGTAAGGTGATATACCACAATGGTTCTGGGTTGTAGAATATTTTAAATTTCCTCTTGGAGCTTTTTTTTTCCTCTGTTTTTTTCTAAGCTTACCATGGTTGTAGGGGGAGAACAGGCAGGGGGGAATATAATAACTTAAGAAATTTATACATTTTCTTATCATTTTTTTCTATATTTTCCAAGCTTTTTAAGGAAAAAGTACACATATGCAAATTTGTTTCCTACCATAATTCAGCCATCAATTAATTATAAGAAACTAATATACAGTATTGAGAACAGTTATGCTTGTTAAACCTGTCATTATTCTTTTGCAAATAAGGGCTAGCTGACATAGAAGGAAAGTGCACTAAACATGAGTGTATGCCTGTGTGCAATGATCTGAATCTCTGCTGCAGAGCTCAAGTGTGGTACTTGAAAATAAATAGGAATATACAGATATCACTTACTGAGAGCCGCTGACCCTGTGGACCCCTTAGAAGATTGTTTTGTGTGAATCAGTGATCAAATTAGCATTTGGCAGAAGATGCAACGGAATTTCCTCATAGAGACCCAGCCTGTTCTGAGCCTTTTCCAATATTATAGCCTTTATTCCAGAAAAAATAAGTCGCCTTGCTATTTCCCAAGCACATCCAGTGCTGCCCTTCTGTGCTTTTGCTCATACAGTTGGCTCACTCATCCATAACTCTGAAATCCCACGCGCCCACTGTGGCCCCTCAGCTACCAGCAGCCTTCAGAGAGGCCACGGTACCCCCGTGGGGAGCAAGCCATCTTGCCCTGAACCCCTGCGGCTGGGCCTTCTGGCTCTCGTTTGTCCCCCATTCCCCGTCCTTGGGCAGGAAGTGTCGGAGGGGAGGGCTGTCCAGCACCCCGGTTGTGCCACCAGCACCCAGGCAGCACCTGGCCCAAGCAGGGGCCTCACATCTGCTCATGAAGCAGGATGGACCGATGCCAGTGCCGGCCATCTCTCCCGTTTCATGGTCTTTCTAGACGTTTGCTATCCCATGTCAGTCCAGTCTGTCAGCACACATTTATTCCGTGCCTTCTGGTGCCGGGCTCCCGAGACGCACAGTGACAGGAAAGGCACCCTCTGGCCTCCCTCCCAGTTGACAGGAGGCAGGTACCTGGCGTGTAAGCCATTCAGTCAGTGACAGCTTTGGGTAAAGGTAATTGCTCTGATGAAGACAGGGGGGCAGCGCAGTAGAAGGGCGCCCTGCCCCCCACCCTGCCGCAGGAGCTGTGTGGCCCAGGTCACAGGGCAGGCCTCCTGAAGAAAGGACGTGCCAGCTTTGAGGAATGATGCCAAGAAGGGGCAGCCTGAGGCAACCTGGGGGGACTTCGCTCCAGGCAGAGGAGCGGCAAGTGTCCGGCCCGAGGTTGGGTCTGGCTGTAGGTGGTTCAGGGCCGGGCGGAGGAGGGCACTGCAGCAGTCCGAGGCCTGGAGGGGAGGGAGAGCCTCAGGCTGGCCAGGGCCAGGCCAGGTCAGGGTGTGGAGGCCTGACAAGGACCCTGCAGGTTGCTGTGCTCTTAGTGGGGGACAGGAGCCTGTGCTGGCTCAGGCCCATGACACCCACCAGTGTGGCATGTGCCAGACATTCCCTCTGCCATGTTTCTGCCCATAGAGATATGCCTCTGTACTGGAAACAGTTGTGAGTGCTTCCTTAACAACGACAGGCTGATCATGCTGAAGGTACTGGAGGCAAAGTTGCTGTCACCACCGCAATACCATGGGCTTTGCGAGTTTCCAGCAACAGCAGTTTTGAGCGTTTCCTCTGGTTTCTGAGACTGTTGGCAAAAGTTGCATTTGGACTGCTTCCTCTTAAGTGCTGTTTGTGTGAATGCAGTTCAGTTTGGAGTATTTTGACTGGCTGAGATGATCATAAAGTAGATATATAAGTATATGTCCGTAGCACTGAAGTGGCTTAATCAAGAATGTTACTCAGAATGGGGAAGAAACGGGATAGAACTAATCTCATTGCTCAGTCTCATTATGTGAGTTTAACTGTCTCTGGTTTCCCATGGCACAGGCCCGGAGTCCCCTGTCCTGCGCCTGGCTGGTGGCAGCAGTGAGCGCGAGGGCCGCGTGGAGCTCCTCCACGCTGGTCAGTGGGGCACCATCTGCGATGACCAGTGGGATGATGCCGACGCAGAAGTGATCTGCAGGCAGCTGGGCCTCAGGTTCGTTTTCCTTGTTCTTGTTCTGTTTTGCTTTCCTTTTGGAATCTGGTATTTTTGTACCCAGGGGCAGGTACCGTGTGTTTGTGTTTAAATTGCACATGTCCTTGAACACATCAGAGGAGCCGGCTTGCTCTTCCTGCCAGGCCATAGGCTCCCAGTAGAGAACGTGCGTGTCCTCTGCAGTCCCCTCTGCTTGTCTCTGGGCTCTGTCGGAGCCTGTGCCTTCCCACTGCTCCGAGCCATGCCAGCCCTGTCCCCCGCAGCGACCTGCCAGTCACACAATGAAGCCACCTGGTAGGCTTTCATCAGAGTCCCATTTCTCCCCCCAGATGTTGCCTGAACTTCTGACCATGCGTCCTTATTGTTAGGTGTGTGTAGAACAGGGATGTTGATGAGTGTACAAAGGGGATCGCCCCCATCTGGGGAGGAAGTGAAGCATGGGGTGACCATTCGGGAGCAGGAAGCTCCAGCTCCAGCGCTGCCAGACCTGCTCCCAGTGGTTCTGAACGGCGGTGTGACAAGCGCAAAAGCCTCTCTGAGGCCCCGCTAGGCCGGCTTTTAAAACTGATGTTTTACTTACATGTGGAACGTCTTCATTTAGCACTTTGTGGGGACGTTTCTCTGTCCAGGCATCTTTTTGTGCCGTGAAGCATTGGCCTTGATGTTTTTCAGTTTTGAAACTTGAACTGTTTACACTCATTTTTTTCAATTCTTTCTGTACTTCACCCACCTCTTTTTTAAAACTCTGTGTTTATATTAAAGTATGTTAAAGTGAAACACAGACAGTTTACCTCTAACCACTTAAGTATGAAACTTCTAAAAGACCCCGGTCCCGTGGAGCCAGCCCCTCCTCCTCTCAGGGACCTGGCAGCCCTTCCTGACCACGCCCAGGCCCTGTCGCGTTCCAACTCCCCTCGCTGCGCCGCCGCGTCCTGGACGGCGTCTGCCTGCAGCAGGCCCTGGGCCTGGCCGCGCCGCGCCGCGGAACGCGGTGTCCCTGGAGTCTGTCCTGGTCCCGCACCCACTCTTCCTTCTCCATGGAGAGGCCAGGCCAGTGGTTCTAGATGGGGTCCCACCTTCCAGATGTGCCTCATTTCTTCCTCCCAGTGTCACCACTTTTATGCCTCTGCTTCTTGGAATTCCTGAAATTGGAGCCTAGGTCTAAAGGCTTGATATCACCACAGCAAGTGTAACATTTCGGCTGGAAATCGTCACAGGCGACGTGTTGTCACCTCGCACCTCGTCAGGAGTGAGGCTTGCCCACGGGGGAGGCGAAGTCAGAGCCGCGGCTTCAGGTGAAGTCGCGTTTTCGCCGTCCCTGATTCTGGGCGCTGAGCGCTGCCGCACAGCCCCGTGTGGCCAGGAGGGAGCCCGCCGCTCCATGTCTGCAGGGCGGATGCCCCTGGCAGCGCAGAGTGCGGTGGGGACCGTCCCAGCCCTCCCCTCTGGAGGAGCCGGGGGTGGGCCAGCCGGTCTCTTCTGAGGAGCTGTCATCAGTCGTTAAGTTGTTGTGACTGGGTTTTGAAACTGTCCTGATCGAGTTTCAATTTCAAGACCAGTTTTCCTCTGCTGTCCAGGTGTTGTTGGAGTGAGCGTCGCCTGGGCCTGTGGGCACACAGCCTGCACTCGGCACACCTGGAGAGGGGACCGTGTCTCTGAGCTGCAGTTTCCTCGCCTGCAACACGTGGCCTATTGCATGGAGTTCCGTGTCCGTTAAGCAGTTCAGCAGCTCAGCGTCCATAGCAAGCGTACAATATGCTGTGTCAGTCGAGGGCAGGCTTAGTAGGGACTGTGATATGTTATAGTTGAAAGACATTATTAAACATTCAAGGTGAACCGGCCGTTTAGTGGTGAGGTTATCAAATGCTGTTCCCTGGTCCAGAGCTTCTACTGAGTCCGCTGTATCTCTGGGTTTCCCATTTTAAAACATGCTCATTATTGTGTGTGTTCGTTGGTTATCAGTTGTGTGGTCTGTGAGGTGCCAATTGATTTTCATGTTACTGGGAAACGTGTGTCTTTGTCAAAAGTTTTAAGAATTATGCGGGTATAGTAAGTAATAGCATATTTAACATTACCAGTTACAGTAGGGATTACTCTAAATTTAACCTAGAAGGCATTTTAAAATCGTTAATATATTACTGTGGGAAAAAGACAAACTGTTTTTGCTCAGAAAAATATATAGAAAATGGAAATGACACGCTATGGATATTAATTATAGTTACAGTTACAGAAGTGATTCTAAAAGAAAAGATATTTCCACTCACATAAACAGCTCTTAAACGAAGACCATGTTGACAAGCAGCAGCCTGTTACGCAGAAAGAGCACACAGAGCCATCGTGAGGAAGACCCTGTCAGCGCTGAGCACGTGTGTGGGATCTTTGTCACCCATTTGCGTGTGTTCACGCCCTTCCCGCGCACTCGCTCATGGCTCTGTTTTGTGTCACCCGCAGCCAGCCCCTTGCTGGGCACGGCTTGCATCGGGTTTCAGGCCCGACGCTCTGAGCTGACACTGTCCATTTGCCTTTCTCTCACTTGACCGTATACCTCACAAAGCTGCATTAAAGCAGTGGGCTGCGGTCGCTCCTCCTCCAGGGTGTGCTTGCTCACTCAGCGGCACAGTGCTTTTCGGTGGATTGTCTTTAACGGCACAAGACTGATGGCTGACTGTGTCCTTCCGCCGCGGCGTCCTCAGCTCTGTTGAATTCCCAGGGGACTCGGTCGTGCCTCCCGGCAGTGACAGCAGCAATTTCTTTGGGAGATGCTTTTCTGTTGACCCTCATCTTTTAATGGTGCCTGTGGGTTTGGGCAGTTGGCAAGCTCCCTAAATACAAGAGGGATTACTGTACTTAAGATCCTCAAAGTTGATTAACCCAGAACTTGGAGAAAGAGGGGGAGCAGGAAAGGAGGCAGCCAGATGTTAGGAAACGGAACTGAGGTCGCATCTGGACGCCGCAGAGTTCCAGGTGGAGGCATTTTAATTAGCGTTCCTTTTATGCACTAACATTAAAGCATTTCTTACGTCTTTCAGAACTCTTAAAAGCACAGCTTAGAACTGTGACATCATATTTAAGTGTGTGGATGTGCTGCAGTTTGCATAGGAGTTAAACATTTTGAACACTTCTTTCCTCTTAGGTTCTTTTTTTTTTTGGCTCTAAAATTATCATATAAAACCATGTTATTGAGTGGTCAGAATAAAAAACTCTTCGCTCTTTTATTTCACTGTTCTTTAATTTTAAAAAATATTTTATAAAAGCGACCCTAAAGAGAGCCTGGAGTGACTGAGCAGGAGAGGGAGCCGCGTGGTGGAGGGGGAGGCGGCGGGGAGGCGGCCTGGAGGCCGCCCTGGGCCGGAAGCCGTGCGGGCGGTGAGGCTGCCCTCGGAGGCTCAGGGCTCCTGGTGCAGCATGTTTCTCCTGTCACGCTATTTGACAGACAGCCGTGTGTTAATAAGAATAAACAGAAATATAGGGCTGAAGGAAATAGGGACGTCAGGAAAGAAAAGCTGGTTTTTGGAGGAAAAATGCATCTGTTCTATATAATAGCCTTTGAGGAGCCCAGCGCCTCTTTGAAAAGGCCCGGAGGTTGGGGGGCGGCGAGCTCGGTGCCCAGGCAGCCTCGTCGCCCAGGGCTGGGTGACTCTGGGCGAGTCGCTGAGCCCTCCGCTCCCTCTATACAGTGGGGAGGGCACCGTCCTGGCATCACAGGGAGAGGATGACTGAACACACGGAAAACTGTCGGAGCGGCGCCCGGTGTGCTGCACGCTCAGCACACGTCGGACACCGTCCTTGGGGACGGCGGGAGCCGAGCTCCAGAGAGAAGCCGAGGACACTGGGCGTTAAAAACGAGTTCTTTCATCCATAGGTTAAAGTGTCACAAACTGGTATTTGTAGTTGAAGGACCGATCTTTTCTAGCCTAATGAAGAATTGTCTTGCACAGTAGAATTGCCTAACTTTAGCTTTTTCAAAGTAGTTGCCGGGCCTGGAGATTGAGTTAGTCAGGTGGTGCTGTTTGGTCTTTTTTAGGAAAAAACAAACGAACACCTTTATACCACTAAATTCGATTTGTTAAATAAATAGGTTTTGGAGCGCTCTGGGGAAGGGTCAGACGCAGAGTCTCTCCTGTGTCCCTGGGGGTTGCTGTTCTGTAGGTCGGACAGTTGTACAGGAGACGCGAATGGAATGCGTTGCATTGGGGCACCTGCTTCCCAGGTTTGCTCTGTGGTCAGAGGGGAAGAAAGAGGCAGCGTGGGGATGTCCCCACCGATGGATCGCCAGCGCTGGCGGGGACAGCTCCTCCGCCTTGGCGGGGAGGAGCCAAGAGCAGCAGCCTTAGTGACTCCACTCAGCTCTTCACTCCCGTGGCTCCCGCGTTTTGCGTTGCTTGGCCCAGCACTGCGAAATCTCTTCAAGGGCAGAACTGCCAGTTTCTTAGGTATCCCCCCAAAGGCCAGAGCAGTCAGGAGCACCAGGAAACACCAGTGACTGGCTGAAGGAATGGGTGTGCATGTGACTTTTATCTTCTTAATTTTAACAACCTCAAAAATTAGCTAGAAAACCTAGGTTGTGTTACATTGTTTCCTAATGTTTTTTGTCCTCAAGTTTGTTTTCTTTTTCTGATTATTTTAATTAAACATTTTTGTGATCATTAAAATAATGTTTATAAGCAATGGAACATGTGGAAATATATAAGGAAGAGAATAAAACATCCAAGTGATCTTTGAAAGCGTGCACTCAAATTTTTAATGTGTTTGAAACACAGACACTCTGCCCAGCCTGTCCTGAGTCACTCTCAGCCAACGGGGGTTATAGGGATGGTTTGTTATTTTTTTCTGGAGAATAAAAACCTTGAGTTTGTAAGCGTTTAGCTTAAATATTATGTGAAAATGATACTAATCTTTAAAATCTCTAAAAATGGGATAGGTAAGAATGTATTATTATTGTTTTAACTTGGCCACTGTGAGATTATGCATCTTATCATGTGGTCAGTGCCCATGGACATTTTGTGTGTGTGTGAATAGTCAGGTTTTCTTCATCTTACTGTGTGTGTGTGCGTGTGTGCGCGCGCGCGCGCGCATTGTGCATTGGTTGTTTTGTCTTTAGTATAGTATAATAATACTGGGTTGGCAAAAAAGTCCTTACGGTTTTTTTTTCTGTAAAATAAGAGCACATTTTTCCTTTTCACCAGTAACTTTATTAATTAGGATATTTTGAGTATGTTGACTACCTCCTCTGTGGTAGAACGTTGACTGTGCTCAATGAACATCTCAATTTGATCACTGTCAGCTTCAACTGGTCTGCCTGACCATGGAGCATTGTCCGGTGAGAAATCTCCAGCACCACACTTTGCAAAGCACTTCTGACATGTTCGATCAGTCACAACACCTTCTCCATTCACTGCACACATCTTTTTTTGTGCTTCAGTTGCATTTTTACCTTTCTTGAAATAATAAAGCATAACATGCTGAAAACGTTGAGTATTTTCTTCCATCTTCAATATTAAAATGGCTGCACAGAAATGCACCGGTTTTGTTTTTTTTTAAATGCACGCTGATACGACAGCTGTCACAATACCATTTGTGTTAGGATTTCTTTTTTTTTTTTTCCTTTGAAATCTATCCACTTTGCTGCAGATATTAACTTCTAACATCTGTGGGGGCAGACTCCTCGGTGCCCACTGTACGAGAGCGTCAGCTAGCGAGTCAAGTGTCTGTTTAGGATTCTAAATGGTACAATTTTAACTCCACCAACATACCCTCTTGAACCTATTTTTCCTTTCGTCTCAGCTTCCTTTCCATCTCCTCCTATAAACATCCCTTTATGCCTCCCTTTGGCACACTCTCTGAATTTTAAACAGAAAGTGAGTCAGCTGATAACAGAATAAGTATTTGCTTTAATGGTATTTAAAGTGTTTAACTTTCAGATTTTTTTTAGTCGTGTTCTCATAAGAGTACATAAGAAAGGGTAAAATTCTCCCTTTAACCATAATGTTTACTGTTCAAGACTTTACCATTACTGGGCTATAATTATTTAGCAAACTTTTTTTTTCCTTCAGTATATTGTAAATTCTCAAGATGGTTGTTTTGTTATGAGAAAAGGGCAACTAAAGTAATTGGGGAATAGATGGCGCCATTGAAGAAGAAACGCCCTAATCTACAAATCAAAAGGCTCCAAGGAGCTGCAGCTGCGCTGCCCTCAACAGCCATCAGTTTGACGGGCAGATCTCCACCGGAGGCTGGGGTTCGAGGATGCCGTGTTGCTTTGAATGGTGGGAGAAGTGAGGGGAGCACAAATACTTTGAGTGAAGGGATGTTTTTGATGGAAATCTGTGTGGCTGTAAGAACTGCAAGTAGCAGGGGCTGTCATGAGAGCTTCTTTCTCTCTCAAGAAAGGAGCCCGAGGCAGCCGGCCTCAGGCCAGTCTATCCCTCTCAGTCCCCGGCCTGGGGCTCCTGGGGGCCGCCACCGCCGCCAGCGCCGGCCCGAGGGAAGGCTTGCGGGCAGCAGGAAGGCGGCTGGGAGCCAGGGCACTGCCCCTGCAGGCCGCTGGTCGGGGCACGGCGTCTGCACTGGGGCGAGTCGCGGTCTGGGAGGGCGAGCAGGTCGGGGGCGACGGGGGCACTGCCAAGCGGTGCTTCCTGCCCTGCCCTGGGCACTGAAGGGTGTGAAACAGTAAGTGCACGGCACATGTGTTTCACAAAAAACAAACAAACAAACAAACAAACAGGGCAGCTGGAGGAGGAGGGGAGGCTGGGAGCGCGCTCTCCTTGCGGGCAGCCAGGCCTCCCAAACACCCGGGTTCCGTTACCAGTGCGGGAAGGAGGGTAAAGCGCAGGACTCGCCCGGTAGCCCCCGGAGCACTCGTCGTGGTCAAGGGTGTAAAGAGTGACACACAAGCAGGAGGCAGCGAGTCCTGCGTGACCTGTGGGCGGGCTGACGTGGGGAGGGTGGGTCAGCCTCTGTTCAGCGTTGGCTGGAGCAAAAGAAGCCCATCGGGCCGCCTGCGCTGTCTGACCCGGACCCTTGCCTCGTGCAGCGGCCTTGCTAGAGCGTGGACGCAGGCCCACTTCGGGGAGGGCTCCGGCCCGGTGCTGCTGGACGAGGTGCGCTGCACGGGCAACGAGCTGTCTCTGGAGCAGTGTCCCAAGAGCCCCTGGGGAGAGCACAACTGCGGCCACGGAGAGGACGCAGGGGTGTCCTGCACCCCTCTGACGGGTAAGGCCGCCCCCCGCCTGCTGCCTGGCTCGCCCCGCGGCAGCCCCTTGGCTTGCTCCCCTGCCTGCTCTCAGTTGAGACAAGGCTACCGAACGCGCGGGAAAGAAGACACGCCAACTCCCGCACAGCAACCCTCGCGGCACTGTGAGGAAGATGCTGTCTCCCTCTTCGTAGGTGTTTCCGACTTTCTCATTTAAGGAGCAAACAGTCCTGTAAGGCTAGATCAGAAAATAGGGCTTTGTTGCAATATACAGCACCCAGTAATCAAAATGGCTTTTAAATCTACTTTCTCGGGGGTGAATTTATAATATTGTGTATCTGCTTAGAAGGTCTTCACAGGAGTCTCTGGGAACTAACTTCACTGAGGTCATAAGACTCGAGCTCCGATCTGTATTATCTGTAAGAGAACAAAGCCGAGGCGCACGCCCTCATTTTGGTAGCGCACGCGTGTCTGGGGGCCGCCGGACGCAGCACCATGGGAGCGCCCACTCTCCAGCCGCAGTAGCGATTCCTGTCTTCATATATATTCTTTCTTCATTTGCATTTAAAATTTTGAGCTATGTCTAAGTTACTATGTTTTCTTACTTTGTAAGTTTAAATGACTGACGCTGCTCATGCTTAAAGAGATTGAAGCCACAGGAATTCTCCCCAACGGGATTTAATTCAGAGAAGCCTAAATAGCTACTGTGGAATCATATCAGACTGTATTTTTCTGCTGCGAGAACAAGAGTACAAATAAAAAGGGAAGGGTGTTCTGTGAGGACGCACATGCCTTACGTCATCCTTAGCAACGATCCGGTGACCTCAGGCCACTGGCTGTCGTCCTGAAATCAGTTTAACAAGAAGGTCGGAGAGAGAGACCTCAGTGGGGCGATAGTTCTAGGGAAAGGAAAATGCTGTTTTGCCCTTTTGTGAGCTGTGTTTCGCTGAGTCTTGTTTCTCCTTGTGGCAGACGGAGCCCTCAGGCTGGCAGGTGGGAAGGACAGCCGGGAGGGCCGCCTGGAGGTGCTCTACCACGGCCGGTGGGGCAGCGTCTGCGACGACGGCTGGACTGGGCTGAACACCCACGTCGCGTGCCGGCAGCTGGGGTTCAAGTAAGTCCGGGTTACGCTCTTAAAGTCTGGCAGCCGCATCCTTACTTGCAGTCTCTGCATCTCCCCCGCCTGCCTGCCTGGCTGCGCGTGGAAGTATGAAAATGGGAAATCGCAGTGTTTCCTGGATGATAGAGAACCAGGCCCTGCTGGTCTTCTCCTTCACCTTCTGGCCGCTGCCCTCTTCTGGAGTAATTGGCGGGCGCAGGGGTGACATGCTGCCCCTTAGTGCCGTTCAAGTGAGACAGCACGCAGAGGGTGCCCGACTCCACCGCCACGCGCCCCGCCTCCTGGCGTCAGTCCTGATGTCCTGCATCTAAAGCGGCAGAGAGGCTGAGCCAGGTGCTTCGGGATTTCATTGTTTCCTGTCTCAGAGTATGATGATAATCTCTGCTTTTAGTTGAGAAAAACGGCCTTCTTGTCATGAGATGGCCTTTGGAACGCACCCTGACCTCGCTCTGAGAGCTGGGACACTGGGGCTGCCGCCGTTCTCGCCCCCACGCAGTGCATTCCCGAGCCGGGCGGCGCCTGTGTGCTCCTGTCCGAATGGCGCTCCCGAGTGCCCGTTCTGTGTCACGCCTGAGAAACGGGCCAAGTACTTTCAGCTTGGCTTCAGAGAGAGCTGACTGCAACTATTCACAAAACCTTAAAAATAGACTTCATTCAAGCTAGGCATGGCCGTGGTTAATATGTATTTTTTAAATTTGTAAAAGTAAAATAAAATATTAGCAAACGTTTGACTAAGAAACAAAATAAAAAACCTGTCCATGTTTTTTATTCTTACACCACCATTCACCTCTCCTGCATCTGTAAGTTTGCAATAGCTCTAGCAGTGTGTGTCGGATTTTTCTGTCTGCATCTCCACCTTTATTTTACTGCAGGGTCATAATTTTTAATAACAACCTAATTTCCACTGAATGTTTATACCATGGTTTACTAAATTTTTAGTTTAGTGCTTTTGTTACAAATACTGCTATCATGAAAATATAAGTGCATGTTATCGCTTACTATTTTGAATTTTGTGGACGCTGTCATTGTAATTATTGGGTCAAGAGGTATGACACACCAGCCAAATAAATAATGATATTTAATTAATAAGTACTTAATAAATGTCATTTCATCCTAAATCTGTTAGATTGAGGACTGTATGTCATTTCCACAGATTTAGATTCATAAATCCTTTTGTGCGGGAGGAAGGGAAAGCGAAGAGGCCCAGGAGGCCGCAGCGTCCCGTGAGCTCAGCGGGCTCCCGCAGCACGGCCAGGCCAGGGAGCGGAGGGTCAGCCGTCGGCCTCCGTTCCCACTGTGTGGAGGGCTAAGCCGCTGCCAGGACGCAAGCGTGGGTGGTGAAGGGTTACTGGTCAGCTCGTTGCATCAAGCAAAAGCTATTAAGATGATCCAAGTCTGTGAAGGAGTTCAAGACAGGAGGGAGGACACTTGTCCTCCAAAGTCATGACACTTAATTAGGCGGTTTGTGTTATATTTTGTGGTTCCTTGAAAGGAGAGACTCACGTTTGTTTTATTGCCACAGACACGGCGAGCAAGCCTCTGCAGACGCCTTCGAGGCGGGCTCGGGGCCCATATGGCTGGACGACATCCGCTGCTCGGGGAAGGAGCCCAGCCTGCTGTGGTGCTCCAGGTCGCCGTGGGGCCGGCACGACTGCAGCCACCGGGAGGACGTGGCTCTCGCCTGCTCCCCCGGCGGCCACGGAGACAGGCCGCCCCCGGGTGAGCACGCACTGCGCTCGGTGTCCGGGCTCGGTCCCGGGGTCCGCCACGCGACACACTTCTCACCCGTGACCTCTTTCGTCTAGTTCCCGCAACTCCCTCATTGTCAGTAATTTGCGTTCAGAAAAAATAATCTTGAGTCTTTCCAGCAATGTTACAAAATTTTTCTCTGAAAGTTGTTATTCTTAACCCAGAAGCCGAGTTTCTTTCTAGGAATGCTCCCAGTCGTGTGCATCGAAAGGTGGGGTCGAGGCCGCCGCGCGTGCCTTCTTGCTCACAGGTCCCTCCCGGGCCCTCCTGTCCCTGCTCCAGGGAGCTGTGGGTGGCGGGGCTTAGAAAGGGTGTCAGAGCAACGCGAGAGTCCTCCCCGCCCCAGGGTCCATTCCTTTGGTCGCAGGGTCCTGTCAGTCACCGGTCACGGGGCCTCCCTCGCGCTGGCCTGCCCCTGGGGTTTCAGGTCTCCCAGGCCTCCTGGGTGGCTTCAGTGGAGTCAACGGCTCACGCCTCTTTCCAAGATACTTGTCACTCTAGACACCCGCCGGGGACCTCGCCCCGCCAATTCCAAGTTAGTGCAGGCTTATGGTCGAACAAAGGTAATGAGCCCACCTAAGTCTTGAGGCGATTATGGATGAAGGTCCCCTTCTGAGCAGAGAGCAACTACGTGTCCTTCACAGACTCAGCTGCTGGCAGGGCAGGGCAGGGGAGACAGGAATGAGAAACGTGGGGGAGATGCTAAAGCGGACGAGCCAGGGCTCGAGCGCAGCTCTGCCGTCCCCATGTGACCGTGCGGATGACGTCCCTGGTCACGTCCGCAGGCGCGGAGATGAGGCCGCCGGCGGCCGCTGTCAGCCCCGGGGCTGCTCCGCCTGCCCCTGCCCCCAGCACCTCCCCATGCCCTCCTGTTCTGAGACAACAGTGAGGCTTAAATCTTCACGGTGTGAAATGGCAGAACTTGTTGATCCCCGCAGTATTAACCGTGTCAGGGACTCACATTGTCACCATGCACAGCTGTTCGTCACTGGACTCTAACCCCTGGGTCACAGGGCCCCCTGCACCCACTGGCCGTGGGCCGAGTGAGGCGCAGCGCGTACCGCCGTGCCCTTGGGTCCTGCCCGATCTTGTCTCCCCGCCGCTCCCCACCTCGCCCTGTCCGCCTGGGGGTGGTTCACGGCCCTCCCACGGCTGTGTGACGCCGGGGCACCTGTGTCTGGGGGATCGAGCCTGTTTGCTGGGAACGGACCCTCTTGGCCGCAGATGGTGGTGTCTGGGTCGGGCAATGTCCTGTGGAGAGAGGCTCCTGCTGCAGCTGGCGGGGCTCCCTGAGCAGGACAGATGCCACCATCGCCTGACTTCTGGGGGGGTCTGCGCGGTTAAAGGCATCCGTGTGGGCGGGACAACTAGTCTTAGTTCTCCTGAAAAGCTCCTCGATTCTAGGATTCTAGATCTATTTCTTAAACACTTAAAAAAGCCAAGGGAGGCAATTATTAATAAGATGTGTGATCATTATTGCAAATCTCTTCGGGCCTCATTTTGGTAACGTGTCTGTTAATGATTCATGCGTCTGAAGGACGTCACGTCTGACCCAAGCACCCTTTTGGAGTAGAATCACATTGCCACCTGTTCACCCAGCGACATCAATGCCACCCCACCGAGCAGGAAGGACGGCCTGTTGGGCACAGGACCATAGAGAGGGTCACGGGATAGGGACACACAACAGTGGCATTAAGAGAACCCCGAGATCATTTACTTTCTGGGCACTGTGGCCATGAGCTGGGGGGCTGGTCCTCTTTTCCTAGCTCGAAGGTGACTTGGGGACCTTCACTGTAAACGTGGAGAAAACCGGTCTCAGCCTCACCTTGGGTCTGGGGGCGGAGTGCTGAGGAGCAGGCGGTTCCTGGCGCTGACTCCCGGAGGGCGCCGGTCCCACAGCGTGAGCGTGGTGGCGGGCGGGGCCTATGCGGGAGTGAGGACTGAGAGCCGTCCCCGGAGTCTCAGTCCGCAGATGTCAGTGATTCCTACGCTGGCGTGAACGTCGGTTAAACGCTATTTCCTTCCTTTGCCGCCTGTTCCGTGCCCTTAGTCCTGGAAGGCGCTGCGCTGAGGTCCCTAAGCCTCGCCTGTGTGTCTCTGGCCCAGGGGGCCCTCCCGGCCGCCGGGCGGCCTAAAGCATGTGTGCCCGTGCGCGGGGGCCCCTGTAACAAAGTGCCTGACCCGGGGCTCACACGGCTGGTGCCCGTTGCCCCTCTTCTGGAGGCTGCAGGTCCAGGTCCAGGCCCCCCGAGGGCAGGGGCAGGGAAGGGGGCACTCGGGTCAGGCCTGCCTGTGTGGCCCTGCGATGGCGCCTTCCCCCGGGTCTTGCTCGGGTACGTCTGTCCATGCCCTTCCTTTTCATGAGGACACCAGTCACACTGGATTAGGGCGCGCCTAACGACCGCGCAGCTCAGCCGCCGGGAGCAGGCCGGCCGCAGCGGGGGCTTGCAGCTGCCCAACACCGCGCCTCCAGTGGGAGACCTCGCGTCTGCATTTGCCTAACTTGCATAAACCGCAGGGCCTCCAGGGTCACAGCTCAGCGGCCTTGAGGACCTGGGCCCTTCTCTGCCCTCAGCAGCGCCCGGGAGGCCGGAGCTGCCCCGCCGGCCCCCTTGGCTGCCTCCGCCTCTGGCACTGACCTGGCCCCCACGCGCCAAGGCTCTGTCTGTCCCTTCACGCCCTCCTGAAGACCTCAGCCACGCAGTCCAAGTTTCCAGCTGTGTTCAAGGACAATGAACAGGCGTGAAACAAAACAACTCTCAGTTAATGTCTTTTACCATTCACAAGTTAGGGCAATAAAATCCTTTGGGACTTCATAGTGCGCCTCCCCCCCCCGCCCCCCCGCCCCCAATCAGCCAGGCCTGCAGTCTCTCCGCCAGCCCCCTTCCAAGCGCCGGAACCACAGAGTGGAGCGTGATGACCTCATGGCCTCAAAGGACAGTGCCAAAGGGGTCCCGGGTTTGCTTGGCGTCCCTTTGCCCACTGTCCCTGTTGCCCGGTAGATTTTGCAGCTGCTCTTTAAAACAAATCGTGCAGTATTTTGTGCGGTCTGTTGCATCAGTGCTGTTTGCTGATCTGGCTTTCCTGAGACATTTGAACTGCAACGCAGGTTTTCCCGTCAGACTGGTGGATGGGGAAGACAAGAAGGAAGGACGCGTGGAGGTTTTCATCGGCGGCCTGTGGGGCACCATCTGCGACGACGGGTGGACGGACAAGGACGCGGCCGTGACCTGTCGACAGCTGGGCTACAGGTACGGGACCTGCTCGTCCAGGGGGCTCCCTCGTGAACGGTGGTGGTTGTTAAGCCTCGTTCTAATGAGTTATTTCTTTGAAGTTGACGCACACCCTTTGATTGGCAATACTGGCAGCATGCTAATGTGACTCGGAATTGGAGAGAATGCCCAGCAGAGTGTATGTCTGCTCTGCCGGCCTCTCACGGGGAGCACACGCTCCGTCACACCGGACGGGCAGCTTTTACTTCCCAGCAGACCCTGTCGTGGTAACTCCCGACCCTCCACAGGGTCGCTCCCTCGGGAGGGCGTGGGCTCTCCCCTGTGATCGGTCAGCACCCGAGCCCTCTGCTCGCGCCCGCGCAGGTACTGACGATGCAGCTGGTTCTGGTGACACACAGCGGCTGTGCCCTAGCAAGTCGCTCGAAGCCGGAGCCTGCCTTCCGGCCCAGGGCGTACGGGGTGCCACGCGGCCTTCGGTGCAGCGCTTGGGCTCACAGCGCTCGGCGTCTTGCCGTCTCCGAGTGCCCTTCTCCTGGTTTCCTGCTGGCAGCCTCGCTGTGTGAGGTGTGGGCAGGTGGGTCCCGCAGTGCAGCCCCGCTTGGGGCAGTGGCCACGCTGGGTCTTGGGGCGTGTCTGGGCGCAGCAGACTCCCTGCATGCGGTCCCGCCACCACGTGGCCCCAGCCCACCTCGGGACGGACGCCGCTTGCTCACCGTCCGAGAGCAGAGATAAAAAGGCAGGGTCCTCTGTACGACCACAGCTGGCCTCGCGCAAGCGCACACGTGATTGCAGAGCTATCTGGAACATGTTCTGGTTTAGAGGGTTATGGAATGAAACATAAAATATGCCACGTCCCCTAGCTTGTAGTAGATTGGGAATATTGGTTGGAATTTTAAATATGCCCTTCATTAGACGTCTATGTAGATCTTAATAGTGAAAATTTTTACTTGTTATTTCTATGCAGAATATTTTTATTTTTTAAAAATATTTTTATTTTAATAAAAGTTAAAAGTTATTTTTCTAACATTTTAATTTGCATAGTTTGTTTTTTGTGACTCAGATAATACTTTGCTATTGCTCAGTTTTGGACCTAGTTACAATTCCAATGTTCCTATGGTAAGTGAGTCCATTATTTGTGATAAAATTTTCAGTGTTCACAATTGGCTTGTGACGTAGATTTTCAGCTTTCAAAGTGTGAGTAGTGGAGACAGGTAGGGTGAGCCTACCTTACCTTCCTGTGTGAACTTAGCAATATATTTTAAGGTTCCTTTGCTCACTACATTTCTAATAGTCCTTTCTCCATTTGAAAAATATATATACTTCTATCTATTTATTCTTAATAAATAATTGATCTATGAATTCACGGGAAATGGCATTCCCATGAATTTTCTTATTTAAAACCGGCCATTAAAGGCGACTGCTGTTGAGACTGCTTCCTTGGCCGCCGGCCATGGGCCTGAGTCCACGGGGGAAGGGGGCGCTCCAGAGCTTGGCCTTCGGCGCCTTTCCGCATCCGCCTCTCTCTGCTCTTCCCTCGCTGCTTACTTACCATCACTTAGTCCCTTTCACGGTCGACTCTGGTGATTTGAGGCCGGAAACGATGCATTAAGTGAATGTTTCTAGCAATTGTCAATCCTGTTCCTGTAGCAATTGTCAAGAAAAGCATTGAAAGGAAATGTTACTTTGTAATTGGTTTTTAAAGTAGTCTCTTAGTACCTAAAACAGTAGTTTAATGTTACTTTAACAAATTGGATAATTACCTCCTAGTGCATAGTCCACAATTTCCCATCAAGTAATATTGAAATGAGGACCATTTAGATATTTGATCAATCTAAGTGTACTTGAAGTTTTCAATAATTTCCCTCCAGGGGAAATGGCACTTCGTGGAAGACCGTGTATATAATTGTAAATGCGCCTTGACTAGAGGAGGGGATCTTTTTCCCATGTGGATTTTGAATTGTTAAAAGTTTTTAGTGAGGCATTTGTTTGTAGAAATCAATCCAGATAGCTTTAAAGCTGTCAAAAGCTGTCTTGTTAATAAGAATTCTGGAGGTCTGTTCCCCAGCAGCTCCATCGTACTGAGGATCAGTCCTTAGAAACACGGAGAATCCAAGGAGCATTAGAAAGCATTTTCTTAATGGGAGGAAGAGAGCAGAAGTCATAAAAACCAGGAAACGTGATGGGAACTAATCGAGACATGCTCAGAGTCCAGAGAAAGTAGAAGGCATTGTTTCGTGGTGTATTGCATGATGTCTGACAAGGTCTAGCATATGGGCATATTGTTTTCAGAGGTTTGAGAGGGAATGTGTTGACGTCAGTTAACCTCATTAAGATAAACAGCCATGGGGAAATTCCATTCGACTGAACTTTGTGTCAGTCCATTAGCATATATTTCAGTACGACATTTTTCTGGAACTGCATATTTAATAGAGTAGTAGCCTTTAAAAGAACTTAAAACGTGGACCTTCACTGTTTAAGTAGAGACCTAAAATTAAGTATATGTAACTTTTATCTCACATCTAAATAGCTGCAAAAGATTTAATTCCTGGCATGTTTTTATGACATTTAAGTAGAAAAGCTACCTCATTCTTTTAATTATAGGCAAGGAAATATAAATAGCATAGGGACTTGACATTCTGTCATTCATTTAAAAAATACATGAACAAGCTCTTCTTTGACCTTTGCAAAATTTACAGTTTGTTTTTCTTTGAAATTGTACTTTAAATTTTCTTTCCCCATAGAATGCGAGTATTATGCTTTAAAAAGGTGTGCGCACACATACGTACGTACAGACGTGTGTGCAGGAGAGTGCAAGAAAGAAATTAACTTCTTCTAAAAAGTTCCTCTGGATTTTACGATCTCTAGCACACCCTGGTTAAAAACAACACATAATTACTAAACGTAGGACATAAAAGTGGACCAAAGCTCCCACTTCTTAGCTGGACCTGCGGGTGGGGTTTGCGGTGCTTGCATTGCCGAAGGTGCTGTTGCTGTCCCTGGCGCTGGATTGTTCTTTCGGCCGTTTCAGGGGCTTTTACACCTTGGAGCAGCGTGTGCTGTAGGACTGGGAAACGTGGAAGGCATGCCTGTCTCCTCTGAAGTGGGAGGCAGGAAAAGTTGAAGAAGTTAATCTTGATTTCAACAAGACCAGTTTAAAGAGAGAACACATAGGGAGTTGGAGGGTCTGCATGTTGATTCCTGCAAAGCCCATGTGTCCCTTGTAGAGTCCTCATCTGTCAGGCGCCTTGGCACCCGGTTGAAAGACGAATACATTAGAGCCTCTGCCCAGCGGGAAGCCTCTTCTCACAGGGCAGCCTTTAGTTATTTTTTTAAAAAGTCAAAGAAAAATTTATATTAGGTTTCACTATATCTTTGAGAATGTCTTTATTTAATCATGCACTTTTATTAGTTAAAATGTTCTCTGATTTCTACTTGTTGATGTATCTAAAATGGTGTTTCTGTTTAGTCTGTAAGTTGATTGATAAGTTAGTAAGAAATGATCCTTCTGTTTTATTCAATGAGTCTTCATTTTGTTTTCTTCATGTAGCTCCAGCTGCCATCCACATTTATACTGTGTATTTATTCCCTGTTCTTCGTTGTGATCTTCTGTTTTTTGATTTCTGAGCGATCCAATTTTCTATTCCTTTTTATTTCTCTAGTGTCCTGGAAGTTCAAGATTCTTATGGTTTTACTAGATGTTCTCTTTAAATTTTTAGCAAACATACTGCCATATTTTCCTACCAGTTTCAAAAAATTATTATTCATAACTTCTGCCTCCTGAAAAATATTAGGGCGCCTAGCCTCCGGTGACTGACTTTCTACCTTCACGTGTCATCGCTCTTCAAACTCGTGGGAACCACCTGGAATCAGTTTCTGCGCGCTATTCATTTTTTATTTTCTTCAAAGTATGACTATTTACATTTCAAATTGCTGTTCATCGTACATCCGCCTATCAGCAATGAGTTTCATGTTTAAAAAACACTAAAAAAATAAGCAATTTCTAGCAATTCTAAGAGAAAAGGAGAATACAAATAAACAGCAGAGAAAAGATTATCCCCAATATACAGAAAGTTAAAGAATTATAGAGCACTATGAACTGCTTATAATGAATAAACCTGGAAATCTAGCTGATATGGACGGTCACTTCGGGAACTACATTTTTAACAAAAATATAATGATCCAAATTGAAACAACAGAGAACCCAAATAGATTAATTACCATGGACGAAATATCTCTGAGCTTCTGTTGAAAAGTTTTGAGTAGTCATTACGACAGATAATTCCTAGGTTATATAAATTGCTGCAAAGAAAAAAAAAAGACAAAAAACACAAAGATTCCCACTCATTTTATGAGGCTACTGTGACTTGATTTTCATACTAGACAAGTATACACATGCGCACGCACACACACACACACACACAACCACCCCCAATCTCACAAATTTACATTAAAAATTTTCAATGAAATATTAGCAAATTTAATCCAACAATGCATAAGAGAACAATAGCACAGATTGAATCTGTTGAAGCATATGGGTTGTTTGAACTGAGACATTCAATTAAGTCATTTTAGTTGTCTTATATAAATGAAAATAAATATCATCTCCATAATGTTGAAAAGTTATAAAAAAAATCAACATCACTTGTATCACTTAGGAATCTGAGAATAAAACAAAACCACCTTCATTATACTTCGCAAAGAGGCATCAAATAGGAGCAAAACAGGGGCACGAAGTGTAACCGCTGTGACTCAGCGCTGCCTGGGGTCCTACGAGCCATCAAGAACTGAGGTGTCAGTATTGAAAGGCACTTCAGAATTGTTATATAAGCAATATGATTGTTCACCTAGAAAACCCATGAGAATCAAATGGAAAGACTCTAGAACTAGTGTTTACTGGATGTAACAACAAACTATAAGTATATTTTAAACATAAAACTATAAATATCTTAAAAGTGTGTGTTTCTATATGCTAGGTAGAAAATAAAAGTAATCTCATTTGTAGACGGGACTAAAAGAGACTAATAAAAAATCTAGGAATAAACTTGGCAAGAACTGAGACCGATGTGAAAATATGAAGTCTTTGCTAAAGCTAGCGGACCTTATAAAGGCGTGGTCACAACCCTAATGAGAAGACAAATACAAATTGGCCTATACATTAAATGCTGCCCTTGTAAAAACCTGTTTTGCTTGGTGTGGGGGAGCCTTGACTCCCAGGTTCATCGGACGTCACGCCCACCTGACGCAGGCCCCCCGCCGCGGCCCGTGCCCTGAGCCCCGCCCACCGCAGCTGTGGCCCTCGGCCTTGGTCATGCAGTCAAGTCCCTTCCGGACATAAAAACCGCTGCCCGTGCCTGGCCCTACGCCGCGGATTCCGCCTTAGGTGCCAGGTGGGGCTCCGGGTTTGCTATATTTTAATTTTTTTCAATTAGTTTATACCCAGTATTATTTTGTGTTAGTTTCAGGGGTGCAGCCCAGTGGTTGGACACCGGTGTAGTGTCCAAAGCGTTCCCCTGGTATTTCCAGTGCCCAGCTGGCACCGTTCGTGTAGTGACTGGCTCTGCTGCACTTTAAAAGCCCCCAGAGGCAGTTCGGCACGGTGCAGAGCTTGGGGGTCGCTGACCTAGGAACTCAGAGGAACGGCTTCAGGACACGTAAGCTCGCTACACAGGCGCATAAGAAAGCCCTTCAGAAGAGCAGAGAAGTTACTGGGACAACCGCTTTGGGGACTAAGATAGAGCTGGCTCCCCTACTAACACCGAACAGAAATACGTTCCAGACAAAGAGAACTGTGATATACAGAGTAAAACAGGAAAACTCTTTCTCTCAATGGTTCCATTCTAATTGTACATCTTTTAAATGCATAATTGGCGCCCCAAAGACTCGCCGTATTCAGCGGTATTTACTCAGAACCCTAAAAAAGGGACGTGGGGTGATTTATTCCGAGGTTTTGTTGGCTGACGCTCTGCCCCTCCAAAATGCTGTGCTTCCAGGGGCCGGGCCAGAGCAAGGAGCATGGCCTACTTCGGGGAGGGGAGAGGACCCATCCACCTGGACAACGTGAGGTGCACGGGGGCCGAGGCGTCCCTGGCCGACTGCGCCAGGCAGGGCGTCGGGAGGCACAACTGCCGCCACAGCGAAGACGCAGGCGTGATTTGTGACTACTTCAGCGGGAAAGCCCCAGGGCACAGTGACAACGGTGAGTCCCCTCCTGGCCCCGCACAAGCCAGAGCGCTAACCAACCCCCAGGCAGGAGCCGGCTCTGTCCCCGTAAAACTGTCCCAGTTGTTGGTGTCCTGGAGGAGCCGGAAGTGCCGTTTGCCTCAGGACAAGAAGGAAAGGAGTGACGATGTGGAGGGGGCACATCTGTTCATCCTCTATTTCAAAGAACAGGGATAATTGTTTAAATTAATTACAAAAAGAAAATGGGTGGGTTTTATTCTGTGAAATTTAAAAATGTAAGGAAATTGAGAAATGATCTTTTAGTGTAATATAGTAATAGGTGTTTCATACTTAAATAGAAGAGTTCTTAGTTTAGTTTTTATGGAGCCAGTACTGCTTTAAGTGAATACGTGGAAGAACAAGCTATTTTGGAGAAAATATTACATTCTATGAAAAGAACATTCTTTATGTGGATTAAAAGTTCACTGTTCTGATATATTGGATTTTCTGAATATTAGGTGCATGTACATTTGAATATTCTCCTCTAACATCTTTCCATAGCTGCCAAAGACAAGACAAAAAGCACTTTGGACGTTGTCAATACAATTCCTCGCTGAGGGGCTTTTGAGTGTAGAGGAAAACACTTAACAGCCCGTGGGCTGGACCTATGTATTCATACATATGTGATCAATGCAGTTTGACAAACCAGTTCCTAAATATTGCTTATTACTTAATTTATTACGTTCCCTTTAATAATTCAAACTACAATTACAACTTGAATATAACTAATATAACCAACATAACATTCTTTGGATTATTCCTTCAGCAAAGAAAACCCCCAAAATTCAGTAACCGTAAAATGTTTTACTAGATTTCCATGTAGACCTCCTTTAAAAGGACATGCCCCAGGCCTATTGCTTTGCCAGTGACGCATCTGTTTCAATGCCTTCCTGGAGCTGTGGCGAGACCCGTGCTGGTGCCCCTCCCTTGGTTCTAGCGCTGCCACACGGCACATGAAAGGCGGTGCCTCCGTCCACTCCCTTGCAGAGCCCGGGGACCTGGAGCCATCTGGGGGGGGTCCAACCTAGGCCACAGTCGCCGTCTGGTGGGACCCTCTGGTACAGATGAGCTTCGTTTTGCTCTTTAACTTCTTGCAGCAGAGGGTTCTCGGGCCCACACAGGTTTCCTTCCCTGCGCTCTGGTGCTTTGCCCAGCGCCAGGGGACGCACAGCCTGCCTGCTGGCTGTCACCTCATCCCCTGTCCTGGCGGTCGGATGCTGAGCTGACTCGGAGCACCTCGGGGGTGGGGGGGCGTGTGAGGGTTGACGCCTCACAACCTGCAGTGCTGCCCAGAGGACGCATGTCCTGAGCAGAGGATGGAGTCTGACAGCGACCTCTGAAGGCGCGCCCATCCGCTGGGGACCCAGCTGTGCGGACCTGCTCCAGGGCCGCCCTCTCCCGGCCGTTCTGGGTGGCCGTGGGTGCGGGCGTGTGGCGCTCCCTCTTCGCTGCTTGCACCGCCAGGAGACCAGTGTGCGTGCCCCGGATGCCCATGCGCTGCCCCGAGGGACGAGGCACTGCTGTGCCATCTACTTCCCGACGTCGCTTAAAAACCAGCTGTGCCCGGGTGGCTTCTGGTGCCACCTCATCGTGCGTTGTTCATTTACCCCTTTGCTTGTGCTCTTGACAGGATTTGGTACCTTGGGAAGTTTGACTAAGTACAGTTTGCCACTTACATGGGCTTCGGAAGCCCTTTCCCTACATTGCTGTCTGAGTCCGTGTTGAGTGGGGTCGGGATTCCCTCCTGGGAGCTGTGTGTGCGTCTGAGGCTCGGAAGGGGGCCGTATGTGGGAAGGAAGTGATTCAGACCCTGCCTCCATGTTCCTGAACCGCAAACAGCCTCTCTAACCCGCGGGGGGAGGGGGGTAGGTACTGCCGAGGGTCACACCCCAGCAGCCGGGACCCCTCGTCAGAGACCAGGCTGGGAGAGCTCAGGACGTGTGTCCCTGCCTGCCGTGCCCGCTGCCTCAGCCACAGGAGGAGAGAGCTGTTCGTCCCTTCCACAGAAAGCATGTCGCGTGTGACTGGAGGAGAAAGGCACAGGAGACAGGGTGGGGAGCAGCAGGGCTGTGTGACTGTCCCCCTGCCCCCGGTGGCGTGAGTGTAACTCCTAACCGTTCTGCCCAGCGTCCCCGCCGACCGTCTGTGGGATCCGGCCGCTGCACCACCGTCGGCAGAAGCGCATCGTCGGAGGGAAAAACTCCTTGAGGTAACCGTTCCTGGGGAGAGGGTCTGCCTGTTACACAGTCACCCACACACACGCAGGGCTCCAGACGGGCCGGCCGCTGCCCCCAGGGCTGTGGTTTGCCCGCCTTCTTTCTGCGTTGAACATGGACCACACTCTGCCCCCGCCGCCCTGTGGCGCGCTCTCACGTCACTGTCCTGCGGTGGCCGGAGTCTGCCCCGCCGGCTGTGGCTCTCAAGCTGCGCGGCGACAGTGTTCCCTGAATCTGGAGCGCCCCCCTTCTGCGCCTGGCCGCTTTAGTGTCATCGTTTCGCCGGGTTTGCTCCCGGAAAACCAGGGCTTCGTGTTGGATGCCCTCCAGGCTGCTTAGGGCAGGGAGAGGAAGGAGGGAGCGCCCACGTCTCCTCCCAAGGTGGGAAGAAGCCCCAGCTGGTTGTTTCTAGAATGTCCACACGGGGCGCGCACAGTGCCTGTCTGTGCAGGGCTGGGGGGCAGCGTGCTCCAGTCGGGGGGCTTTCACCCGAGATGCTTTTATGTGCTCCCCCCAACCCTAAGCCTGCAAAGGCATTGCCTTAATGATGCTTTCCTTCCCTCTTGTGCCCCTTGCGGATGCGCACGGGGCTTCCTTCCCTCACAGGGGTGGCTGGCCTTGGCAGGCATCGCTGCGGCTCAGGACGCCCCGGGGGGACGGCAGGCTCCTGTGCGGGGCCACGCTCCTGAGCAGCTGCTGGGTGCTGACTGCGGCGCACTGCTTCAAGAGGTACGTGCCCCGCCGCCGCCCCGCCCACCGCGCATCCCTCCCTGTGCCCCCGCATGCCCACCACGTGGGCGGCGCCCGGAGCAGAGAGCCCTCGAGAGGCTGCTTGCGGCCTGCGGCTGATGCAGAGCCCAGGCTCAGGAGAACAGAAGGTGGGGCTGGGGGCAGGCCTCCCCATTAGCGCTTCCCTGAGCACCCATCCGAGCGCGGCTGCGTGTCCCCAGGGAGCTGGTGGAGACCCGATTATCCAACTAGGGAGGCAGAGGAGGATGGGGTGTCGTTTTGGTGGCTTGACCCTTTGGGTCTAGGTGTTCGGACCTTTTGATTTTCTGGTCGCGCCTTCTGGAGCGTCGGGTTGCACCCCGATGGTGTCCTCTGTTGCAGACGCCTTACCAGTCCCACCTGAGGCCCAGTTCGGAGGGGCCCTCACGGGGAAAGGGGCCGGCTGGCCTCCTCTCTTTACGTTCAGATTTTCGGTCTGTGTGCAGGCCATTTTTGAGGGTGGGCAACGGCCCGGGGAAGGGACCGGATGGTATTTGTCTTCACGGAGAGTTTCCTAGCACATTTCACTGACCGTTCCGGCTTTACCCTCTGTCACATGCCGTCTGCCCAGTCCCGTGTATCCACCTTTCCGGGGTCTCTGTTCACGCCCTCTCCTCTGTGCTGATGCGTATTTATGCAGTGATCGTCGACGTCGAGGGGGCTGCAGAGGTCTCAGCCTTTGTCACTGAGAGTCCACCTGGTCGCCAGGTGACCTGGCACATTCATGTGTTGCCCGAGTGGCACAGGCAATAGGATGATAATCACTCAGTCGCTTGACAAGCCGCCCCGGAGCCCCGGCCGTGCCAGGAGCACGCTGTGCGCGGGAGAGGCGGTGGGTGGAGAACCCGACAGGCGGACCCTTGCTTTCCTGGGAGTTTTTGGTGCGGCTGCAGGGTCCAGGGGAGGAAGGCGTCGATGTCGCTGATCGAACAGGATCAAAAAAAGCTGGGGCACCACTTTGAAAACATCCTGTTTTGACCACGACATTCGATACATTCAGCTTGTTAGAAATCCAGATTCCTGGGCCCTTCCTCCAGATCTGAGTCTTCGGAGGCGAGACCGACGAGCTTGTCTTTCCCAGCATCTTTGAGGACCGGCATGCACGCGGAAGGGTAAGGCCACTGGCTCAGTGCACGGAAGAGACTGTGGCCTGGACATTTGAAGGATGATGATGAGAAGACTGTGGACTGGACAGGATGCTTGTCCTTGTCCTGGGAACATGTCAGTCACTGAGATGGCAGGACACCGATGCCGGTTCCTCACAGTGCGGACGCCAGGAGACCGGGAGGGACACGTGGCACGGGAGACAGGCTTTGCGATGGCAAAGGGTCTCGACAGGCGGGTTCTCACCAGCAGTGCAAACTAAGCAGGAAGCCAAGTGCTGCCTCTCGTTCCCGGAAACCTGGCTGAAGCGCAGCAAGCGGGAAAGGCCTCGTGGGTTCTAGCGTGTCCGCCGGCCGCCCGCAGAGCTGTCCAGCACCGCGCCCCGCACGGTGGGGGCGCCCGGGCAGTGTCACCGTCGGATGGAGACCTGTGCCCCGGCAGGTGCCACGCCACGGGGAGGGCGGTGGGGCCTCAGGAGGGCGGGCAGAGAGGGGCATGGCGTGGAATCAGATTGGACGCGTTACCTGTTGCTTCAAATCCCACAGATGTTAATGGGAGATAAGTTGTTTTAATATAACAAAGACTAGTTGATTTTTTTTTTTTTTTTTTTACTTCTTTAACCTTCGGACAGTTTAAAGGTGGCCGCCTGTGGTAGCAGGCGTCGTTCAGGCCTAGAGGCGGGCTCTGCGCATAGGGCGGGGCCGGGGTCGGTACCATCCAGCGCCACGGCCTGGCAGCGAGAGGGCCGCTGGCGGGTTTGGGGGGCGGCAGCTGTCGGGTAGGATCGGAATTGGGAAAGGCCTGGGGTGCCAGGGTACGGGTTTCCGTTTCATTCCGTGGGTGGTAGGAAACCACTGGGGGTTTGTGAACCTTGAAGTGGGGTCAAAGAGGAGTTTTCAGAGCTGAGTCATGTGGAGATGTTTGGATAGATCTGAGTGGGCGAAGCACAGTCATAAATCTGGGGTTTGGGAATGACCTTTACCTCATATGAGAATGTTTGTGCATGTGCTTGTGAGCCTCTTTCCGGAGGGATTCACTTGGGTCTCCGTCACCGCGTGGGTCAGACCCACAAGGAAGGGACTGGGGGAGTCGGGTGGGAGGCTGTGGTAGGAGACAGGAGGGGGCAGAGGTGGGGGCGGTGGAGACGCCCCAGCACGCCTCGTACCGTGTCACGAGAGAACTGAGGCCACAGGCCCCGCTCCTCCAGCGGCGAAGTGTTGAACTTTCTGGAAACTCTTGAGCCTCTGGAGCCTCAGTTTTCCCTTCAGTGCCGTGAAGGCCGTAACACTCCACTGAGTAACAGATGGTCTGCAAAGTACAGGAAAGAATTTTGTAACTGAAAAGTTCAGAACCAGCACTGGCTACTCTGATGCTGGGATTTGAAAAGAGGAATCAAAGATGGTGATTGGTAGCCGTAGGGAGCCCAGACAATTTCACTGCGTGGACGCATGGAGAAGCGGGAGGGGACCCTGCCGGGACCCGGGGACGCTGTCCTGGGTCCTCGAGTTCAGGAAGGACGAGTTGGTTCAGACCGGCCTCCTGGTCAGGACTCCTTGTCTTGCAAGTTTCTGCTAGAAGTTATAGACATAGGGGTTCCCGGCACGAACACGGGGAAATTGCCCTAAAATCCCCCTGAGGTTGGAAACTATGCTCTGACTCGCGGGTCCCCTGGAGCGACGTTTGCAGGGCTGTGCTTGGGTTTCTGCGTTCACGCGCCATCGTTGCCCTCCTGGCCGGCTCCCTCCGGATTATCGCTTCAAGTCAGATCATCTCCTTCGTGTTCACAAACGCAGCGTCCAGTCTCTCACGTGGCACACAGCAGAGGCTCCTTCCTGAGTGATTGCCGGGTCGCGGATCTACTTCAGGATGCTGGACTCTTCGAGGACAGCTGCCTTCTGACCCCAGATCCACAGATAGCTGCTTCCACATGCCACGCTGAACTTCTTCCCTTTGTTTGCACAACAGAAGGCAAAGACATCTGGTTAAGAAGCAGAGGAGCAGATTGACGTGTGGCATTTCCCTGTGCTTTGGCGGTCACGCAGCGCTTGGAATGTGAGAGGGAGACAGTTGTTTTGCAAATGTACCGCATTATTCGTCTGATGTCTGTGACATGGCCCGCAGCCTTTACCAGGTTCCTTGGTGTCCTGTGCGGATGTGCCTGAGGGGGCTACAACTCACACCTTGATTGCAGTGAGTCACTAGTGATGAGAGCTACACATTGCATTCTTCTGGGTTCAGGGGCTTTGGATTGAAACCGCCCTCCTTCAGCCATCAGAAACCCTTCCGGGGCACCGGGGAGACCGCCCCGGGGAGCAGAGCCCTGCGCGCGGAGCTGTGAACTCCCCGTGAGAGGCCTTGGAAGTCTAGTTTTTCCGTGGCTGCCCTGCGAGTCTTACGCAGTATGAATTGCTTGTTTTTGCTGACTTCTACTCTGGGTCCAACTACAGCACGTTGAAGTGGCCCTGTTTCTCTGTGGTAGTGCACTGATACAACTGAGGGGAAAGTCCTATCAGACTCATTTCCTTTAGTTGCTTAGTCTGATAACAAACTCCATTGTGGAGGAAAGAATGTACCCCAAACAGGGACTCTTACTTCTGTAGTTCTACTGCAGATGTGATTTAATCAAGAATATAGCTTTACCTGATTTTGTCTTGCTTGACTTTTTGCCTGGAAATGCCGTAGCAGCTGGAAATTGTCTGAGACTGTGGCTCTGAAAATCAGAAACGTGCAGCTCTTTGTGATTAGAGGGAAGGGCCACAGGGGTTAGAGGCTTCCTTTTACAGATCACCGCGTGCAGGCGGCTAACACACGCCCCGTTAGGGCCTAGTCCACGTGGAGTCCTTAAGAACACGCCTTTGGTGGCGTATGGGCACTGCCATCTGCCAGGCTGACATGACTTCCGCACACACCCTGCGAGGGACCACGCGAGGCCCTGCCCAGAGGGTCACTGCCCATGTCCTGGTCTCACCCAGGCGATGCCGCAGAGCCGATCCCGGGCCACAGCTGTGCCCAGCTGACGTCCGGAGCTGTCTTTCGCAGCGGCGAGTGCGCGCAGAGTGCGCGCAGAACCTGACCCCGCTGCCCGCGTTGGCTCCCCTGGTCGTAGTGCTCGTAACTCCTGTCGCCGTTTAGTCAACTCCAGACCCTCCGAGGACCTGGGAGACTGGCTGCTCCATTCTCTTGCTCAGGCTCGCCTGGCACTCTCCCCCGGTTTTATTTGAGGGGTAGTTGAAGGCATTCCGTCAACACAAACAACTGAATGGTGTGCCGGCCAAACCCGAAGGGTTTATTTTGGCAACATTTTTGAATATAATAAAGTAAATTAAAATAACAGACGCTCAGCTAGAAAGACCTTAGAATAGGTTGCCAACGAGGTGACTCGCTCAGTTGTCTTGAGAAGCCCAGAGCCACAGCGAGGGCTTCCAAGTCCACAGACACCTCGGGAGTCAAGGCCTGCACTGTCCCCAAGGGGACCCTCACAGCCAGCAGGCCAGACGTGCCCTCGCCCCTGAGGAGCCTTCAGCATTGTCACGGAGACAGTCACAAACGCTGCGACGGTGGTCTTGGGCGTGCTCAAGGGCCCGGCCATGTCTCAGGCTGGGCAGGAGGGGCTGCCTTGGGGTCCCCGACTTGAGACTTGAAAGATAAAATCCCTTTTCACCGCAGCAGGATGAGGGAGGGGGAGTGAGGCTGTGAGCAGCTGGGGTGGAGACGGGTGTGGGAGGCACCTCTTTAAGCGGTGGGAATGGCGGGCACAGAGACCCCGCTGGGGTGACGGGTGGGGGGTGGGGCCGTTCCCGGGTGGGATGGCGTGCCGTCGCAGGGAGGCCGTCCCGTGGACTGTCTCCGTGGTCCAGGCGTGGCGTGGCACACGGGAACAAGACTGCCCAGGACTTTGGTGTGTATTTCAGACACAAAGTTCCTTGTTGATGGAATGTCCTGTTTCCTAGTGTCTTGCTGAAGCCCCAGTGTTTGGATAGCGTCGAATATATTTCTACAACCACTTCAGATACAAGGGTTATTGCAGCTAAGCGTTAGCTCTTTTTCAAAGAATGGAAAAGACTTTTTTTTTTTAAGGCCAAATGGTGATTTAATTATCTTAAAGGATATAAAAATTTGACATGTGAAGGGAATGTCTCATAACCTAAGCCTAAACGTTGTAAGCAACACAGGAAACTGCATTAAAGGTACATCATAAAGCGGGACTGGTTTACGCCAGCCTGCGTCTCTACACCGGTGCTGCCTAGTAGAAATGCACTGTGAGCCACAAATACGTCATAAGTAGCTTTAAATTTCTAGTAGCCATGTTAAAAGATAAAAATACCAAGCAGGTTAAATTAATTATAATAATATACTTTAAGTCAGTAGATCCAAAATATTATCATTGCAAAATTTAAAAAATCGAGGTATTTAATTTTCTTACTAATTTTCTAAGGAGACATTAATTATAGTATCCTTTTTTTTGTACTAAGTATTCAAAAGCCCTGAGCCTGCTTTATACTTAAGCACCTTTCCCTCGGGACGGAGCACATGCCGAGTCCCCCACGGACACGTGTGCCTGCTGGGGGCGGTCTGTGCCAGGCGGCCGCGCGCTCCAGCACCGCCCGGCGCCGCCGCAGCCCGTGGAGGGCGCTCTCGCTGCTGTTCTCGCGAGAAAAGCGGTGAGTCGCTCAGGGGCTCGCGCTAAACCCTGAGCGCGTTCGTTAGGCTCATTGAATGTCTCTAATAGAATAACCACATCAGTACATAGAACATGGAAGTGAGAATTATTTAAATATCCGGTTATTGTCCGTGACCGTTCCTTTCGACAGTTTCAGGATGTGAAATAATCCTAAATCTTCCTTTAATATTGAAGGGGAACCAGAAGACGAAGTCCGGCAGGTGCCGCTGTAGAAAGCCTCTGAGTGTTCAGAGAGCTGACGGCTCGGGGTGGGCAGCGGACACCCTTGCGGAGCCCAGGAAATGGTCATATTACGGATCCACAGGAGGCAGCTGCCCGAGCTCGGCCATCGAGGTGGTGGTGCTTAGTGTTCTGGGCTGGCAGAGCCCAGCGACAGCACACGGCGCCTTCTCGGGGCTGCCAGGCCATCTGAGTGGCTTAAACTTCGGGGACGCTCAGGAGTGAACGGGGTTGTGTTCTAGAGCTAGGCGGTCCCTAGACAACATCAGCGTCTCTAACTCCACATTCAAACGCAGGTCTGTACCCAGAGTCAGACTTGAACATTTTGGGGAAGAATGAAGATGACAGCTGTTGAATGTCGTTTCCCCTTTCAGCTGTCTGGGAGGTGGGGAGCTGGCGAAGCCAGAGCTGGGGTTTTGGCAGATCAAAGGGAAGGGGGGCTGGGAGTTTTTGCAAAGTGCAATTGTGGCACCCAAGCCTGTTGAGAGGGACGTCATAAGCAGAGTGAGACTGAAATGAAAAAACCAGCGGGGACAGAGGACTGAGTCCAGTGAGGCCGGAGGGTGACCAGTGTCAGGCAGGAGTGTGCTGGGGGCAGGGGCGTGGGAAGCAAGGGGAAGCTCCCAGGGGCCCGTGGCGCTGAGGCGGCTCCCGGGGTCACCAGGAGCCTCCGCCCCGCCTCTGCTTGACTGTCCGCCCCTCAGGTACGGCAACAGCTCGCGGACCTATGCTGTCCGGCTTGGGGATTACCACACCCTGGTGCCCGAGGAGTTTGAAGAAGAAATCGGAGTTCAGCAGGTTGTCCTTCACCGGGCGTACCGGCCGGACAGCAGTGACTACGACATCGCCCTGGTCAGACTCCAAGGACCGGAGGGGCAGTGCGCCAGGTTCAGCAGCCACGTCCTGCCGGCCTGCCTCCCGCTCTGGAGAGAGAGGCCCCAGAAGACCGCCCCCCGCTGTTACATCACGGGATGGGGGGACACAGGTAACGGGGCGGCGTGAGGCCTGGCGCTGTCTCCGGGGTGGGCCGCGCACGGCGGGCGGGGCGCAGCTGGTCGCGAAACCTCTCTGCATCCAGGCCGAGGGTTCGGAGTCCTGCCGAGTGAGGGACGCGCGCCTGTGGCCCGGGCTCACTCCTGGGGTGTGTTGGTTTCTGGTAGAGCTCCAGGCCAAGCGGACAGAGCTCTGCTGCCTCGGAGCTGGGCGCTGAGAATCCTCTCTGGCTTCCAGTTCCCCAAGCCAGTGAGGAGGCAAAGGGAGGGATTTTTAAGGCCCCACCCCAAGACTTGGGCCTGGCCGTCTGGACGCTCGCCCCGGGGACGCTGATGCAGCTGGCCTGGCAGAGGGCTGTGGTGGATGGCGGTTTGCTTCTCTGTCCTGGGGCCTGGGATCAGCCTAAATCTTCAGGAGAATTCCCAACTACAGAACAAAGGCCGAGCCGCTGAGGCTGACGTGAAGGGACCAACCCACGCGAGTTCCTCACTCAGCCCCCTTCCCGGCCCTCCCGCCTCCGAGTCCCCGAGCAAGAGCGGCGTTCGCAGGAAACAGCCGCTGAGCTGTCTCATAGGTAGATTAGTGCACGCCAGCCCCGAAGCCACAGAGCTGGGCGCACCTGGGAGGGGGGCCGGGTCTGCAAGTGATTGTAAGGAGTGATGTCAGGCTGATTGCTCACTGTTAAAAAGACTCAACCCTGATAACTGTGTTCTTAAAAAGAGCATCAAATACATCTGTCTCCAAGGGTAACTTCAGCAAGCTGTTATTTAGTAGATATCAGCAGCCCAGTGTCCATTGCAGCCACGCCTTGGCCACCTGTAGCAGTGAAGGAGCCTCCGCGACAGACGCGGGGGCCCGCCCCGAGACTCGCCGTCAGCGACCGGCACGTTTCTGGGGCGCTGTGAAGGTCCCGGGTCGGGGCGGAGGCCCGCTTGCTCGGCGCTCTGTGCTGATGCGGGGCAGTCGGGTCCTGAGGAGGTGCACGTTTCTGTTAAGGGACGTCAGTCTCCTTCCTGTGGACATGACGTCTGAAATAATAGAAATGACAAAGGAAGGAGATTTTACAGAATGTGTTTTATTAGGGATGAGTTCCTCCAGGTGAGTCAACAGGCTCAGGGCACAGTGGTGAGATTTCGGTATCATGGATGACATAGCGACGACCCACTGCAGCCGCTCAACAAAGGAGCGGCTTTTCCCAGCGCATGGGTCACCCCAAGTGGTTGAACTGAAGCCGGTTCCTACCGGGGAATGTCTTGTTTCTGAATCATTTTTATGAAGATACTGTGTCTGTCTGGGACAGTTATTGCCACCTTCCGTGCTTACATGCGATTGTCATTTATCAGTAACCCTCAAGTCAGGGAGGCAGGCGGGTCTTGGAGGACGGCAGGCTGACACCATGCCGGCAAGCGTGTGTCGTGCGTCCTCGGCTTCCCCAGGCCGAATTCAGGCGCCGGCTCCCGCGCCCAAGCTGCCTGCAGGCTCTCCCTCTGTCCCAAGTCCACGGGCGCCAGTCAGCTACACTCGGCGCCCCGGGCTGAGCAGCGGGCGGGGGCAGGTGAGGACGTGCTGGGTGCAGCAGAGGGGCAGGGGCGGCATTGTCTACCATTTCAACTGCACTGGTGTCACACTCGGGCTGTTCTTTTAAGGACTATTAAGCGTTCCTGGAACTGTCAGCTGTAGCTCTTCTCTGTGGGCCCCGTAGCCAGCAGCTGACTAACTGTGACGCTCTGGTTCGGCAGGACGCGCCTATTCCCGAACTCTGCAACAAGCAGCCATTCCCCTGCTGCCCAAGAGGCTTTGCGAAGAGCGCTACCAGGGCCGCTTCACCGGACGGATGCTCTGTGCCGGGAACCTCCAGGGACACAGCCGTGTGGACAGCTGCCAGGGTGACAGCGGAGGACCCCTCATGTGTGAGCGGCCGGGAGCCAGCTGGGCTGTGTACGGGGTGACGTCCTGGGGGCACGGCTGCCGAGTCAAGGATTCACCGGGCGTTTATACCAAAGTTTCAGCCTTTGTACCTTGGATAAAAAGTGTCACCAAGCTGTGACTCATGGAAACCTCAGGGGAAAATACTATTTTCAACCTCCACGTAGGTACTCAGCCAGAGGTGCCAGCGGACGGGGACTGAGGTCAGTGTCTGTGCTTGGGGTTGAAGACTGCGCCCCTCTGCTGCCTGCGAGCGTGCGGCCGGACCTCGAGGCAGTGCTGATAGCCCTTCATTAGCATTGTCGCCGCCCCAGACTAGTTTCACTGGACACCATATTCATTCTCATTTGACCTGTATCTGTCTCTTCTATTTCTCAGAACTCTCTGGAAATTGTTGCATACATATTGATCGTGCAATAAGGCTATTTTAACCTTTACTGGGAGAATTCCTTATAATTCAGTCAGCGATATATGGATTCAAATCAAGTGCCTGTATTTGAAACAATTTTCATGTGTGTGTTTTCTGTGGCCTCAGTCTAGTGAGGAAATCCAGGGCCAAGAGGTGAAGGAATTCTGCTCCGTTCCTAGACCGGAACAGGTTCCTTGTCACAATCTCCTAAGACATTCCTGGATGGTGCTTTGTACCAACACTATGGCAATCGTGAGGAAAATGTTCTAGCTACCTTGTATGTTCTTAGCAAAATGTGGAAAAATTCCTGGTAACACAATAAAGAATGTATTCAAGTTGTTGGAATCACAACCTAATTTACCTAGAATAGTTGACATATCTACTGTTACTTTTAACCATTTCTAATTTGTAACTGGGTAATTTATTCCTTCCAATTAGGCTCTTTTCTGCACTAGGACCGAGTGCCATCTGTTGAAACTTGATGGTAATTGACTCAAACCTGTAGATTTATTTCCCAAGACTAGCCTCATAGTCCCACTTGATACACTAAAAAGGTTTCCCAGCCTCCACAGTGGGGAAGAGCTCTACCCTTCACCCTGTTTAACTCACCCACTGGTTACCTGCTCAGGCACTGCATCGAGTGGCCAGGCACCTCTGCACGCTACGGGAAGCTGAGTCTGACAGCACCCCTAGTCCTTGAATGGGAAGCCAGGCCTGGACGGGACACGGTGAGGCTGCTGGGGAAAGGCTCTGTATACCAACTCCTGAGATGGGTCCCCATGCTGACCCTGGTATTTTGTGCCCCACCTCCCCGCCCCCAGTCCCTACCAGGGTTCTCCTGCCTGAAGGGTTTTCCCTCTGGTGGTTTCTCAGATGGGTGCGGGATAGCTGGTCCCTCTGCCCTCACAGCACATTCCTGGTGGCAGTGCAAAGTCGGTGGGATGCCAAGGGCATGCCCCTCAGGATGCTTGCATAGTCCTATTCAGACACGCTGATGTCACAAACCGTCCCAACGCCTGAGGCAGTTTACAGTTCCACAGCCAAGGAACAGACGTTTAAACACATACCGGTGCAGTCGGGGTGAATTTCAGGATTAAGAACGGTTAATGCCCTTCTCTATCAAATCACATCCTCTCTTTGCAAACCTTAGCTCTGAGAGAGAACCGGTGCTAACCTAACAGTGCTTTCCTTTCCAGTTCACTACCTTGGGGAATGGCAGTGCTGAGGCAGGTGGGTAACACTGTACCTGTCTTAAAAGCTCATTTTCAATAAAGGAAGCTTCCCAGAGATTTCCATTTAGAGACGGGAACTGCAGCCCCGTACCTGCGCGAGGGCTTGGGACCACGCGCCCTAACAGGGGCGGCTGCCCTGAGGACTCAAGCACAGCGCAGGCGCAAGCAACATCTACGCTAAAATTGTACGCATGATGTCCAGCTCCCGCAACCTTGAGGTCAAACTGTTGATTCCTAAAATAACCTTTATTCTGGCAAATTTGTTAAACGTAACTTTTGTAAGATACAAATATTCGGTGCACATTTGTGTAAATAAAGTGCATAGCTTTTCACCTTGTGCGGTTGCCTTGTCTTTTGTGTGGCGCTAGGTGACTGCTCTCCCCCGTAGAGGAGCCTGGTCTCCACGCATCCGATACCCGCAAAAGATGCAGCCCCTCCGAATGCTCACCCACACCGCCGCCACCCGCCCTCCGGACAGCAGCACAGGAAGCTGTGTGTTCACCATTACCTGCAACACCTTCCCACTTATTAATCAGCCGGGGCACACCGAATATCCAGAAGAATCAAGCACTTTATTTCATCAGAACAAGGAAGCACTCTCTTACTCTATTTTAAAGAATACCATTCAGGCCTTGGTAGTTTCCATGACATCACTTGATGCTCAGTCCCGGCGCTGTTGACCCCTAACTCACGCCTGTCACGTGCGCAGCAGGAAGCTAAATGAGACGCCCCTCGTGTCACTGCGTGTCTCAGTCCCTGCAAGAGAAGGACAGCTTTACAACTCAGGAGGCCGGTCTTAGCAGGTGGTTCAGCCACTTCCTTTTCGGTTGGCTAATTTCTCATTCCAATTACAAAAGGGCAGAAAAACGGGCCAATTTTGGCCTTCCAATTCCTTTGCATTAAGGCGAACTCTGAAATAGGAATAAAAAGGACCGTACCTTATGTTTTCCGTCACCCATCGGAACACTTAATTCAACATTTCAGAAACAGATCTTTGCGCAATAACCCAGTACCCTCCCTGAACAGTGAGGAATGTTACTTGTGCAAGTCAGAATCTGATACCAATTAAATGGTGACAGCTTTGCCAATAAACAAGAATATGCTCTTCCATGGCTAGGAAGGGAGACTGCCACAGCCGACAGGTCCCAAAGACACATGGACGTCCACGCCCGCGAAGCCACCGCAGGCACAACCCGACTCCACTCACCATGTGGCTCGCTCTGGGGGCTGCAGGGGTCCTGGTCGGAGCTGGGACGGGCGGCGGCGGAGCGGACTCACAAGGCCACGTGGCGGCCTCGGTGGACTAGTCAGCAGCGCTGGCTGCTCGCGAAACTAAAGCGCATGCGTGCGGCCTGGGACTCGGCGCCCACGGTTCCACGTGGCGGCCGCGCGACCTAAGCGGCACCCGAGCGCGCTCTGGCCGCCCAGCCCGCAGACTCCCGCAGCTGACCTTGCTCCGTCACTACAAGTCTCCCGCGTTCGCTGCATTCTGACTAAGCCAAAAGGTTCTGGCCTAATCTCCATCTCAGCGCACAAAACACGACTCCCAACAGCTACCTACGCGCGGCGCGGCCCGGGTGAAAGGAAGTTCGTTTCTGCGCACGCGCTCTTATACAGCGGATGACGCCTTTCCGGGGACGCGCAATGAGGGGCGGGGCCCAAGCGACCTCTCCTCCTCCCGCCCCGCCCCGCCCCCCCCGCCCCGCCCCGCCCGTCCCAGCTCCGCCCCGGCTCCTCCTCCTCCCCACCGAGGGCTTCCAGCTTTTCTCCACTCCACCCCTCCCCTCCCCGTTCCGCCTCCTTCCGCTGGGCTACACTCCCGGCTTCGGATTCGGGCGCAGGCGCATACCAGGGAGCCAAAAAGTTCTCGCGAGAGCCGGGAATCCTGACGCTCGCCGGCTGGCTGCAGAAGTTGAAGAGATAGTCTGCAGTGTGGTTCAGGGTAGTGACTGTAGAGACGGCAGGTTGATAGCTCCCCGCGTGTCCACCTTTTGGTAGGTTAGTTCACACGGGACGGACTGGTGTGTGTGTCTGATGCTCCTTCCGTGGCCCTGGAGTGGCTGCATGGCCGCAGGTGCGGGTTCGGGTCTGACGTGTGAGGGGGTTTGCGCGCCGCCCCGAACGCTGCCGTCAGGGGAGAGGGCAGCGGTGTCAGGCCGAGGGCGCCGGACGGCCCCGAGGCGCCGGCCCCGACGCGGCAGGCCCAGGCTGCTGGGGCTCCCCGTGTGCAGGGCTGCCCACGTGCAGGGACGCGCCCACTGGGTCCGTGCGTGCGGGAGGCCCGCGCTCGCTCCCTGCCGGCCTGGACCTCGGCCCGCGGCCGCGCCGCAGCTCCGGGCTCCGGGCGCAGCGCCGCTGTGGTGCGCAGCGCTCCACGGGCGAGTTTCTGGGAAGGCGTTTCCATTTGGAAGAATAAAGCTGTCCGCAGGCTCCCCTCGCCCCGCCCTGCCTCACTCCACTCCTCAGGAACGAAGGCAGAGGCCAGTCCACGCCGTGGGCAGTTTGCGAATTGGGCTTTACCTACCGCCTCCGAACCGGGCAGTCCTAGCAACGTACGGACCGCAGGCACTGACAGCGGCGGGAAGGCGCTTGGACCCGCGAAGTCCGACCTCCCGGGGCCAGGCCAGCGTCGTTCCCTCGCTCTGCCTGTAGGCGGCGCGCCTGCCCCTGCGCGTCCCAGCCTCCTCCTGAAAGGCGGCCGCCGCCCGGGGAGGGAGCGCTGTCCCCGCCACCTCGTCCAGCCTGGATTCTTTCAAGATCCCCTCTCCGGGTACAGTCCTAACCGAGGCACCGGGGTCGGGCTTCAGCCAATGAATTTGGGGGGAGGGGGGGACAAAGCCAGCCCGTGACGCCATCAACGTACGAAGCTATAAACACAAGAATTTGGTTCAAGATTTTATTTTTAGACAGAGGGGAAGGGAGGGAGAAAGAGTGGGAGAGAAATATTAATGTGTGGTTGCACCTGGAGCGCCCCCTCCTGGGGACCTGGCCTGCAACCCAGGCCTGTGGCCTGAGTGGGAATCGAACCTGCGACCCTTGGGTTCGCAGGCCGGCACTCAATCCACGGAGCCCACCAGCCAACGCAAACAATGGAGATTTTTAAATTGAAGTTTCCCTTGGGTTAAGGGAAACACCAACGACAGAGACAGAGCCGCCCACATTTTGTGGGCATTCTTTCCTCTACCCTGAATGTCTTCCCATCTATTTTCATCCTTTTTTAAAAAATTGAGGTAGAAATGACATAGTATGGTATATTAGTTTCAGGTGTGCAACACGATGATTGATAGTGTATCGATTGTGAAATGAACACACTACATCTAGTTAAACAGTCCCATACATAGTTACAGTTTTTTTTTCTTTTAAAGGGACTTTTAAGATTAATCCCTTAGCAACTTTCAACTAGATGGTATACAGTATTATTAACTATAGTCACTATGCCACACATCACATACCGTGACTTAGTACTTATTTTACAACTGGAAGCTTGTGCCTCCTGCACCCCATAGCCACCTCCAGTGTGTCTTCATGCGCGAGCTTGCTTTTCAACTTTCCTGTAAATACAAAACTATTTTAAAATAGAGCTTAATAAAAAAGCATTCATAACATTGCAGTCTATTACATTTCCATTTTAAGCAATGCTTCAGTGATGGTTTCTATCTACCGTTTGAAATTTTTGGCTAAGATGGCAATATGTTTGTGGGGATTTGAGATCAAGCCTGATTAATTTATCCACGGTGAAGCCAAATCTTAGAGACTTACAATACTCAGAAGAGAGAATGTGGCAATAGGAAGAAGAATTAAAAATTGATTGTAAATAAAGGTGCAAGATGAAGCTGCTGGAAGTGATCAGATTAAGGCTGGACAGTATTTTAATTCTGCATTTGATACGCGAACTGAAACAGTTCATTATAGAATACTGATTCTTCAACTCTGGTGCTTCTCCTTACTCTCTTTCCTTTTGTGGTTTAGTATAGAAACTGTGGTAATCACAGAAACAACTGCACATCTCTCATAGGGATGTTGAGGTGAACCAGAAGAAATATAGTCAGGAAAATGGCTTGCAGGCTGTTTTTCACTTAAAGTGCTTAGAGAACCTGACCATGTGTCACTGTGGACTAGCAGCCTGAAGTGCTGCTAAGAAAGTTGCGATAAGAGTATAGAGTCTACAAGAAGAAGAGAGTTCGCCCCCTCTGTCTAGGACTATTCTTTTTAGTTTTGAACACTGTTCAGCTGTTAAACACAAGACTCCAGCAAGCATTTAATGAGCAGACGTGGCCCTTGCCTCAAAGCTGCAACGGAATCGAGGTCTGATAGCCAGTGAGATCACAATTTTTCCAAATAATTCAGAGCCCAAAGCCTCGGAGTTAACCTTGATGTCTCCTCACCCTCAATTTGCAGTTTCTGGTGTATTTCTGCATTAGTCAGTGTATTAGTTATCTATTGCTGTGTGTCAGTTCGCCTATGGCACCGTGGATTAAGGCAGTAAGCATTTATTATCTCACAGAACGGTGGGTGAGGAATCCAAGAGCAACTTAACACTCGATCTCATGAGGTTGCAGCTAGGAGGCTGATGGGGCTGCCGGGTTTTCTTCCAAGCTGGCTCATGCATGAGCTTGGCAAGTTACCGCTACTTGGCTCTCGACTGGTCTGCGTGAGCGTCATGGTCTGGCAACTGGCTGCCCCCAAAGGAGTGACCCAGGAGAGGAGGTTCAAGTTTTCTTAGGACCTACACTGAAAAGTTACACACCATCGCTTGTTAGAAGTGAGTTAATAAACCCTGCCACACTGAAAGGGAAGGACATGAAGCTCCATCTCTTGAAGAGTGGGTATAAAAATTCATTGGCAAGTTAAAACTGCCACAGGTTGTTTGTGGTTTCAAAGAGCAAAGGTTTCTCTCTTGTCATGCTCCTGTCCATTCTAGAGACCCAGGCTAATGAGGCCTTCAGCAGGTGTCCTGTTTCTAGGCCACACTTGTTCCTAAGGATGTCTGTTGT